TACATCCATACATATTAATATGTTTTGCAGATTTCAGGAAAATTATATATTTTTCAAAAACATTATTCAGTGCAGGAATTTTTACAAAAAAAAAATTTTCAAATTTTTTAATGCAATTTTTGCAAATTTTCCTTCTAGTTTGAATTCCCTTTAATGTTGACGGTCTGTCTGAGTACCAAAGTTGACAACAATCTTCAAAGCTGATGACCTTATCCTATAGATTTCTGACTGAGCTAATGACTTGTGATGACTCCGGAAAATGTGAAAAAAACGTGCAGTCAAATATGCGATCGAGGTTTGTTTTAAACAAAGAAGACATATATAAAAATATAACATCTAAATATATCTCAACTGGGCGTGGAATTTCAGGGAAAGCAATTTAACCGTTAACCAGGTAAAGTTAACTGATGTGCTGGTTAACTACAGCACGGCGTTTGACGTAAATTATAATTTTAAAATTGTTATGTCACTATAGTTTAAAGCGATTTTGCGTGATCTTACCGTAGTGTAGATCGGAATTATTCACAAATCGAGATAGTTTCGTGGTCGCTCTACTGCAAGAGATATGGAGCATACTTATTACGAAGTATTTCAGTAAATTCAGATTCCGTTATTTAATGTCATTTTTTGTAACAAAACTTCCAGTTTTTGATGTGTAACTTCACTCTGAGATACCATAAATTAAAACAGCATCAACTGCGATCGGAAGGTACTAGCTCGATCAGCACCGTACCGAATGTAATACCACCAGAGACTGTATTCAACGCGGCCGGAAATAATATTAATTCAAAGCGTTCAATATCGTGAACAATATATTCTGACCAGAAAGCGATTCTGAACTCATTATTGTCAATTATATTTTACATTTGTAGAGTGCTTACCAATACAGTTGGTGATATTTTTTTAATTAAACTTCTAGGGAGATAAACGTGATGTACTATTCATTTTTGAAGAATTTGTACAGTATAAAGGTGATTTGTACCGGAGATGAGAGATAACTCCTTGAACTGGCCAACATGATATCATTTTGAAATACCGCACCGCACAAAGATACCATCATACATCTTATAACTTTCCTTTCAGTCAACTTTATTAAATTTAGACTTACTTCGCAACAGTTTCACATTTTTGGTTGCATTCAAATATAACTAAACAAAAGTTTTACACCAAATTGCTATGAAAAGAAATTTAGTTGCGCAAGAAGCATCCAACATGAGGTTGGATAACGTACAGGTTGGTTCCAAGATCATCACTATATATAAGTTTCAAAGCAGCTCACAAAATAAATTTATCGACTGTTCAAAAAAGATATGGGATTGGGTACATATACCGTACATAGACACGTATATTACTAACTATTCAAAAAATGAGCTGAATGTACTAAAGACAGAAGCTGAGACAACACGGAAGCGACAAAATCTGAAAGTTATCAACTAATTTATTTATGTTTTCAGCTTGACTGGATTGACCCAATTTTATTGCGTTTGAGCACGTTTAGTCTGGTCAAATATACTATCAAATATGAGCTGATTCCACAGATGCCAGGCGTCGATTGGAACGCGGAAGTGACTAATTGTTTTGCAGAAATAAGTTGACGTAATACCATGTTAAATTGACTGAGCAATTCCACTCGAACACTATCCGTGCATCCGACGATGTGCTTTTAAATGTGGAGTATCTATGAATACTTGATTACAATTATTTTATCCTTGATTCGGTATATTACCTCTGCCGCCATTGTGTATGCAAAAATACTTCCTTCCATTCCCCTTTAACAAAAACTGGTCAGTGGATTGTGTCATTCATTATCGATGATTGATCTCACTTTGGATATATAAATAAATGGCACTGAATTTTTAGCGTTCTAAATGAATATTACCGGAGTGAAATTTACGAAATATGCCACACTCTCAATTGCTAAAAAATTCACTCATGTTTAGCAAATGAATAAACTGCAGCCGACGAAATTGCAGCATGTAGGATACCCGACGGAACAGAGCGTACACAACATAAACAGTAAAAAGAAATTGATTCGTATAGACATCTTTTGCAAAAATGAGAAACAATAAAACATTTAGAATAAATAAAATATGTAACAGATTTCGAGGCGCACTTAGCAAATCGCCTTCGGGAACCGCTGGCTTAACGATTATTAAAGCCGGCATTGTTATGCAAGCACACGCAAATCGGGTTTTACGATCAGAATATGCATTGTTATGCGAGCGCGGTGATTCTACTGTTTCCCCGAAAATAAAACCAAGCCAGAATTTTATAAATTATTTTATTATAAGCGCTCCCCTTTAAAAAAGACTTAGTCGATAGCGCAATTTATTTTGACCTAATTCCGTGGAAGTGCGTCGTTTCAATTTTGCAAAATTTCGTGATTCATGAACCTTTCAAACAACCCATATCTACTACTTTTACAGAAAAAGGGAAGATTATATCTATCTTACCTGTGATGGTGTTACAATAAAAAAGTTTAATTCTGAAAAATACGGTTTTCTGTAGATAAAAATTATTTTTCTTGGTTCAAAAAGCGTTGCGGACCCCTTTGCAATTTCGTTTTTATATAAAGCAGACTTTTCTAACAAGGCCCATTAAGTATGATTTCACTGACTGTCGTTATGTTTTGTTTGTTCCTTCATATGAAACTCATTGCAAAAAAGCCTTTTATTGAAAGGTATCAATACGTATTTTCACGGGTAGTCGTAACTTGAGCATATTTTTGAAGGGCGTCACAATACAATGAAGTTCAAGAACCACTGAGTCCTAGTCGATAGCAAGAAATGTCTACTCGGGAAATTTATACTTTTTCCACTTTTTAAATGGTTAATAATATATATGTAGCAGTTATTTTGAATGAAGACGTGCTATTTATAAGTAATGGAAATCCGTATTCATATTTGGCCTAATAAAAAATCTCGTTATTCTGGTTGCCGACAGAATTACTCAACGCAGGATTCATGCAAATTCATAATTTACTAAAAGGGCGTTATTACTATTTATTTTGAATTTTACCTAGAAATGGGAAGATTTTGCAATCATACCTTTGGTCTTTTTAATCGATCTATATTCAAAGTTTAAAGCAAGGCATCCCAAAGCTCACGACCCCTTCCAATATATATATTTGAATTTTCCGCGACCATTGTGAATTCGCATTGCTATGCAAGCGTGCGCTCATCGGTTTTGAAGATCAAAGTCGACAAAACAAGAAGAAGAATACTAACAACATTTTAACAAAGCGATACATAGGTCGACTTCGTCTGCGATAACTTGTCTAATAGGTTCGATACAAAAATATTTCAAGAGTGTATGGCAAGTATATGAGCGCCCAACACAAGAGAAGCTGGAGACAAATTGCAAAGGAAAAAGAGATTGCAAATTGTAGATATTTTTACTTCTTAGGTTCAGCAAATCACGGTAATATAACGTTTATGGCGTGCACAAATCTGCTGCAATACGTTGCAAATCATTCCAAGGAATGCACAAACACATCCAAAGATCAATTGCACCCGAACACCAATTTTGCCTGCGAATACAATCAAGCATATCGACACAAATATCTCCCAGTCATAAGCTATGATAGGCAGAGCACCTGTTGTGTAAGGAGTTTCTTCAAAGAATGAAGTAACGACGTTGTTCACAGCTTCGTAAGATAATGTTGTTCACTGATAGCTGAACATACCCATATTCAAGACAGCTACAAACTACCATCGTATATAGAGTACACAGTGTAACCAAGGAGAAAGGACCTGCAGTTCAGTACACAATACCCTAGTATTCCCTGAATTATAATCATAATCACTTCATGTGACGAATGAATTTTTCGAGATGTAGGCTATTTTCCGTATTCACCGAGCGATTTTTTAAAATTTTCATATTCGTTTTTTTTAAGTACATTATGGTATAATTTCTGTCAGGTAAACAATAAAAATATTCAGGCACAGAAGCGATTTTTTTGGAATCCTGCGAGTACCTGTAACTGCGAGTAATGGGCATTTTCCAAAGTTAGGAGATTTATGGCACCATTGTGGCCCTCGAACAATGCAAATATAATTTTCTCTTTCGCGGACCGGCAAAAAAGCTTCGTGGACCGGCACCTGGGAACCAATGCCTTAGAACACCCTGCTCTATTGCAAAGACGAATTCATACCAGTCACATTTTAGATAAGACAGATTTAGCAATAGAAGTGAATACTACCCCAAGCGGGCAACACTTGTCTTAACTTTGTCCCTGTTCATGTTTCCATGCTCACACCTCTGACATTCATCATTGAGCCCAGGCTTGAAACCACATCCACGTCCAATACATATAGAAATGGCACCTCTGAAAATGAATCGATAGCCTACATTCTTTTAACACCTTTATTATAATTCAAAATAAATGATAACTTGCACATAACAGAAATTATTTGCAGCATATATTTTACTAAGCAAATGCAGAAGTTTCCCATGCAGCCGTTCAGTCAGGTATATGTGTGTAACGTCAGAAAAGGAATGTGCTACAGATGCAACACCAAAAATGGGCAAAGCATAAAAGGAGGAACACAATATGACAAGTTAACTGTAGTAACTTGAATAAACACATTAAATGACATTGCACTCGCAAGCAAGGGCCACGAAAGACAGATTTGTTACAGGTCACTCAAACCCCAACATACAATGTAAACAGTAATAGTACATGGATTTATACCTTGCAAAAGATTAACAATGAAAAGCAATCTCGCTAGTTGGCAACCAGCAACTAAATCTTAATTATGATTTATTTTTCCATATTCTATTTTCCATGAAAACTTACTGCAAGTTATTATAACAAAACGCCTTACACTGACTGCAATTTCACAGCATGCATATTATTTTTAACAACATTCTGGAAGGTAGTATGAACACATGAATTCTCTAGTAATAAATTCTACAGACTTGAAAGTCAATGTTAATGTAATCTCCAATGCTGCCATTTTGGCTTCAGAGAACTTGCCTTTGGCTTTTTAATATTGATGAAGTTTTGTCCATGAACTTATAATATACTATAATTTTGAAATTGCTGAAAGTCAACTTCCGCAATGTGTCGACAATGAATAGTTCTTGAACACAACCACGACTCAGGTTCCGTATCGATCCTAAAAAGAATTAATGTTTACAGATTCTTAAAAGAGATGGTCTTATTTTTTTTTTCAATAATAAAACAATATGAAATTGTAGGATTTCTCTCAGTGGTTCTGAATTGTATTTAAAATCAAGATGGTGGTCATATGTGTATTGTTTCACAATAATGAAATAATGCCTTACAAATTTGCAATTAATTTTTATTTCCAAGCAAATTGAATGGTTTCAGTTTGTTGTTCATGAAGCTAATTTTTGCTTGTAAACAAAAATAATCATGATTATGAATATTCAAATTCTAAAAACCTATTTCTTTTCGAATTTCATTCCCTTGAAATTTTGACATTGAAAACCGTAAAGTGGATTTCGAGATTCGCGCTGTATGCAATATCACACTCATAGACGGCACAAGTGCTTTATGAGACTCTTCATGAAGTATCCAAACAAATGTTGACATCGACACAAGTCAGATTTAAATATGGCTGGTCTAAAGCATGTCGCTAGCTAAATTTGAGTTATCGAAAAATGAGAATCCATCCTATTTTTATGAAGAAATATATTTAACCAGAAACAGACAAAAAATTTTGTTGATAAACCAATGCATCATCACCAAGTACACAAAATGCAATTATATCAGTGGTTCTTAATCCTACTGTTAGTTAGTTATTTTTAGGTAGGGCGCAAGACTTGACAAATTATGAAAAGGGGGTGCGGTGCGGCTTAAAAACTACTAAATTATATATATATATACAAACCTGAATGGTAGACGCAATGCCCGACACCATTGATGACATCCTTCCAGCGACAGACCTGACCCCTTCTTTTAAATTTCCTAAATCTGGCATTTGACTGTTGTATGATGAGGAAGATGAACTTTGACCTCCTCCGAAGAAATCATCGCTAGAAATTGCAGATCGTCCCTCCAAGCTCTTCATTCTTTGTTCTTGTTCATGCTGTGTGACATGGAAAATTAATGAAAAAGTGTTCGACAAGCATAGCGAATGAGACTTTAGTCATACTATAGGTATAATTAGTATTTTCTTATAAATAAAATAGAAAAAAAGATTCACCTGAGATCTGTCTTGATCTTCAAATAACATGTCTGATGAAATTGCCGATGAGTTAGAATATTTATCAACTAATTGGGTTTTTCTTTGACGTGAACTGTTGGAATAAGATAGAAGGTTACATAGACCAAGCTATCAAAACAATGAGGGTGCTTAACGACGTTATAGAAAAACATTACAAATTACAAACAATAAGTAAGGATGTCAAAACATTCTGTCTAATACAACTTTAACACACCATAAAATACAATCAAGTATAGAATCTGATGTTATGTGTTGAATGTTGCTCAAGTAGGTATCTTAGAATATTGAGCCTCTCAAACATATTTTCTACTTGATATATATAAAAAACGAGATTGCAAAAGGACAGATATATGATGAAAACGATCATTTTAGATGTTTTTCACACCATCAGTCAGAGAAACTCTATGATATTTGCTCAATACAATACTACATTAACATTTATCTATAGATTGAATAAAGCAGTGGTTTTCAACCTGTGGTATGTGTACCACTAGTGGCATGGCTTTTCAAGTGGTAAGCGAGAAGCTTTAAATTATTGCAACAACCGACTTTTGAGATGGCTAAAATATGACAGAAACGCTTTCTCTTAACCTTACATTACTGAAATATTACTCTTACTGTTAATTTTACTCAACTACAGGTTGAGAACCACTGTTTTAAATGTGTGTCGAGATACCCTGATAGAGCCTAGATACATCATGAGGATGTTACTATTACTGCCTAATGTATGTGTTGGCTGATGGGCATAATCTTGACTTTTGAGGCCAAATAATTTGACGATTAGGTTAGGCAGTTCCGGATAGTGGCAAGCGCCGACCAAAGTGTATTTGTCTGAGTTTTGCGATAACTCAGTGGTGGCGATGATTAAAGCCTTTCAGCTCTGACGGTAGTCGCCGCAAATTCTCTCGTGATTTTGCACGTAATTATTACGTTGTTACTGAATATAATTAATACTTTGAATTGTTTGAAACTTTGCACGAAGCTGTAAAAATGGATGTAGTGCCACATAAAATACTACCATAGCGCGTTTCTGGTGTCATTGTTCCTTGCCACAAAAGCGGTTTTGTCGGTGGTACGCGGCCACGATAAAAAACACGAAAATGGAACGCGGGCAGTAAAAGGTTAAGAAACACTGGAATAAAAGAATAGAATATTTGGCCACAACGGAAACAATTAAGTTCTAACTTCTAAGTTCTCAGATTTTGTCCTAAGATGAGCGTACTTCATTCAATCACTTTACAATGCATGTTGAATATTATTTTCATTTGTTGCAAAGTTGCAAAAATACTACATATTAATACAACGAAAAAATAAATGGTATAAATTATAACACTTCAGAACTAAGGCATATATAACACAAAAATTGAGATGATAGCCATCAAACTAGCCATGTAAAGCTATTGAGTTATAATTAAACGATTACAATAATACAATACAATAATAATTTATACAGTACCTTTCATTTTCATCTCTTGCATTGTTTGATATAATAACAGAAGAAATGTTTTTATGAGGATCGTTAATTGGTTCGATTGAATACGAAGGAGGATCATTTCTTGATGGTTTTGTTTTTGTATCATTTTTAGAAAATGTTTGTTTGTAACTGAAATCTCGTGTTTTCCATGTATTATTATCATCATCACTGTCATTATCATCCATCCAATGGCTGAAAATACCAGAGGGAGATATAAAAATACTTTAGTGTCAATGAAATTCATTTGAACTATACAATATCTGTTGGTCAGCAGCAGAGCAAGTTGCCACTGAAAATGCTTGCAAATAAAACTGATCTTAAAAATTGAGGACTTTTCTGAATAAAACACCATTCAAGAAAACTTTTTTTTCAATAAATTTTTTACATTCATTACTTGGTCTTCATTTTAGTATTCTGGGAAGATTATGGTATATGACGAAGCAATTTGTGGACAACATTAAGAATTTCAAAAAACATTAGTTGAAAATAATTATTAAAAAGGAAAATTAATGGCACAAATGGCACAATTGCATATGTTGATTCAACTTCTCGATCCAAATGTCCTTATAGGAAACTCGTTATTGTATCAATTCCAATAACCATACCTACTTATCACAATTGAAGAACAAGGAAATGCCAAGTTCAATTGCACAAAATAGTCACATGATATTCAAAAGTCAACATTGCTAGTTGTTTAGTAGCAATTGATGAATCATGTCACTAAAGACATAACAAATTATCAATCTGCAAATTTGACAATAAAAAATTGCTCATCTGCAATATATGTCAATAAAAAAATCATCTCAGCATTTCTAACAATTCTTTCATTAAAAAGCATATACATCTGATTTAGACATACATCCTGTGATTGGGTAGGTAGGTCATTACTTACTCTCTTGATGATTTTGCATCAAAAAACATGTCGTCATCTCTATATCGATTCCTCCTCGGTCGTTCATCTTGTGGAGAGGTTTGATCAATTGTCATAATTTTCATAGAATGGGAAACACCCCTAAAACAAACAAAGCTTCCTTTCAAAACTTGGTCTCTAGGTTGGGGGTTGTAGCACTCACGCAACTTATCGAATCATTGCATTATTACTATCATTATACCTAGGCGAATCCCAAGCCTATATTTATCCAAAATAATAGACAATGATCATTCAACTACAGTATCCTAAGTGATTCGATAGCCTTGCTACACACTAACCCAAATATATTTCTGTAACGTTTTGTCTGACTAAGGTCAGACTTGTTCAGACATACAGAGTTTAATGATAAACCAATATGTTGAATTACTATATGTAAGAAATCTTATTTTTAAAATCCAGCATGATTCATCATCTCCGATCTTTTAATATATAGGAATGATAAGCAGAATTAGAGAGCAATCCAACATAGACTAGTTCCATTTGTCTATCAAGAATTTTCTATGATCAGAATCATTCAATGTTCCTCAATGTTTTTATACCTACCACCACCACAGGACAACTTGCAAACTGCCTAACGTCTTCTCCATGCAAAACATGAAATCAGGGACCTTGATATTGTAGTTTTATGATCGCATACTAAGAGTCAAAGCTTCTTTTATGATGTGGTAGAAAAAACTAAACTATGAGCATAATATTTTCATTTTCAAAAGTCAATCAGCTCTTGATAGTAAGGCATTTGAAAGCCTGGATTATTAATATACATCCTGCACGCCCATGTAACATCAAACTCGAGTTATTTTTATAAGAGCAAATGCCCAATTTGAAGTCAACACCTACCAAAAGGCCTGTAAGATGATTTCTTTCCTCTTTCTGGCACTAATTCAAATGAGGGCCAATTAGGAAAAAATGTTTCCACTAATGGTTTAACGACTCTCTGAAAAAGTGGTGTGCAGTAGAACACAAACCTTATGCATAAGAATGATTCACAACTCACTCGACTTTTCCCATTCCCATTCCAAGTCTAACAGCTTGCTCTTTTTTCCTGTCATCCATTGCTGACAGTTTCTTGTCTACCTGTTTCTCCTGTTTTTCTATATCTTGATAGGCCAGTCTTCTTGATGTATCACTATTGAAAAATATCAATCTCAATATCAAATATTTCAACCAAAGAAAAAAAATTGTATACAAAGCAGCACTATGAGTGAAATCTAAAATTTCTAAGACATAATAGATTCAAATCTTATAAAATAAAAAAACAGATTTTTCTGTTACAAGATAAAAGAGAGCTTCACCATCAATTTCACAAAATACTTTCATTCAATCTACTTGACTAAAGGCTAGTTTCCATTTATACACTCTTGTATATACATAACAAAATACATATGCTAGATATAATTTCAATAAATGCTACTTCAGAGAATTATTTAAGCGATATATATGCAGTTCTTTTCTGTTTTGTGTAAACAGACAAATGTGTTTTAGAAATAAATCTATGATCTCTTAGAAGTCGGTAAGTTTAACTCTTGTGTCAAAATTCTCTTTACTTTCAATCAAAAGGGCTCTGACCAATATTTTGATCCAAATTTCATAAAAAAAAATCTTGAATAAAGAATAAAATTTTTCCATCTTACGTTAATTTTTCATTTTGTTTTTTATCACTCCCAGATGATGACACAGAAAGTCGCATTTGAGCTTTGTCTGCTTCTTCGGCATTTTTTTCAAGTTCAGAAAAATCAATCTTTTTCACCCGTTGAGCCCCAAGTCCACCAGTTTTCTTTGCACCCAGCTTAATCAAAACAAATATATTAAAACGGTGATTTAATCCTGCTATAAGTAAAAACCGGAATGGAATCTTTCTTTATGAAAAATTATCTCCTTTTTTCACAAGATGTCTATGTTGTATGTGATTATTGCCAAACAATTGCAAAATATATTTCCAATATTACTGCATTAAGTAAAACATGCAGATCCATCACAAATGAAAAATATATAAATTAGACAGCTCATAAGGTTAATATCCATAGCCTGTATTTTTCTCTCCACTTACTGACTTACAGATTTTAAAAATGAATGCTAGGAATATATTTCGCATATAATACTGTAATAATAATGAATTATATGCCATATTCCTTTATGTTCAACCCTGAATATAAAAATTTACATTTTACAGTGCTATTATAAACTAATATTCAACAAAAACAGAATTAGATTTGGGGCTGCTCCACTTTAGTTTGATCCTAACTCTTCACTAGCGAGAATCGTTCCAGCATCAGATCAGAATAATTTCATATCAACTTAAAAAAACGAAGATTGTACTGCAATTTTTTTTGCATTTTGTTTCGTTACTGAATTGTACTAAAATTGACTGAGAAAAACCATAAATTTGAAAAGCATTGTTGATTTCTTGTATTAGCTAGTTACGCTGAAAAAAAACATGAAAAACTTAATACTAAATGATTACTGTTAAAAACATATCGCACCCCTTTCTTTGCTCTTGTGTTTCCCTTCTTTATGATTGTTGATTTTGGTTGACTGGATTGTATTGCGCTGGCAGGAACAGCATGCGGTTCGTACTCATCGCTCATTTTGTTGATGCAACGCTTTTACGTCCACAAACACAATATATATTTTCTAACTGCATTGAAAGTAACGCCACAAAAATGCAATATCTTAAGCGAAGTATGGTAAATACATAAACACCATGAACGAACAACAGGCATGCATGAATCAGAAATGTTTAGTGTACGTAGCATATTTTGTCACGTGACTACAGGCACGATTGGGTTTGCAAACAAACTCCCGTTGTATATTTCGCGGTGATCGGACATTAGAACCCATGTGTATATCCGCGGGTTCAATCTATATGCGGGTGCTAAGACCCATGGGTTAGGGTTAGTACGGGTTCAAATATCCGCAAAATAAAGAAATGTCCATAGGTGCAATAGTATGCAGGTGCAATTGTCGTGGGTTCAAATGTACGTGGGTTCAAATGTACGGGAACTCCTCGCCGTCGTTGGTTGGTTCACGTAACCGCTGGTCGGTTACGGCTTCCTCTACCACCAAGTCCATGCTTCCGAAAACAAACAATATAACTAATCCCATACCCCACCTGGAATGGTAACCGGACGAGAGGCCGTGGTTCGCCGTCTTATCGGTTTTCCTCTCCCCCGGGGATAAATATGTAAATCCTATCCTATCCTAACTATATTTCGCAGCCCCGAAAGCGTAAAGTTCTGCATATTTGTCACAGGAAAAATAAAAGATGACTAGATTCAGCGTTTCTAACATTTAGCAAAATACACCAATTGTCGAGCCATCGGAAAGTGTGCGAAATTAATCATGCGCATATTCCTGGCGATTGTGGAAAACAAAGTGACTATAATATAGTCACTTTGGTGGAAAACTAGTGCTGCCTCTGGTTATGGTCTGCTGCCGCGTTGTTATTATTATTATTTGCTCATGACATTTTTTTTAATACGTTTGCGACCACGTTCGTCTGGAAAACATTATCACCCACTATCATTTTAGCTATATAGTGATATTGAAATTGAAGTATACCTAGGTCTAATGAATTGACAGTAGCAGTTGTGAAAACCCCTGCAAACATATATAGAGGACTTGCACGGGTCACGTGACATTGTTACTGGACGGCAATAAAACAAAAACGTCCATTTGGCTCCTGTCAGTTGCAAGTCGGATTATACGTTTGCGTTTAGTTTGGCTGTTGAAAATGGTTATTTCGTCGTTCTGTTAGCTGTACGTATAGTATAGACAACGAAATGGATCTTCAGTAATATTCCACTGATTTCAAAAGATCCTGAACGTCGCGCAATGTGGATATCATCTATTGCCTATTGGCAGAACTGCTTGGTGTCAAGTCCAGAAGCCATCTTACTTGTGTTTCACTGTTTGCGGACAGCACTTCGTTGATGGTGAGTGATAATGTGGTGATAGTGCGCCGTTATCAATTTCTTCAAATATTCACAAGCTCCCTCATTTCAATGGAAAGCAGATGACAAACTACTGTTATCAGTAGGCCTAGGCGTGGGCCTACTTGCAGTTGCAGACTTGACTTGTGTAAGACAGTAAGGAATTAATAATCAATAATCTAATAATCAACTACTGTTATTAGTAGGCCTAGTTGCAGACTTGACTTGTATAAGACAGTAAGGAATTAATCTAATAATCAACTACTGTTATTAGTAGGCCTAGGCGTGGGCCTACTTCCAGTTGCAGACTTGACTTGTGTAAGACAGTAAGAAATTAATTATCAATTGCTGTAAGGTATTGTTTCCCTGATTAGCAGGTAATCTATTACAAAGTGTGAAAGGTTGAATAGATAACTAAAGTTTAACACCAGACCAGTGGTCATGCAAAAAATAACCAGAATTCAATTGAATAATGGTGCTTGTACAACTGATTCAACTGATGTCTTTTTATTGTCATTGGTAAAAAAGATATGCTACCCGGAATCAAATTCATTTACGACTAGTGGCTGTGGTGGGATATGGACATAAATTTCACACTCTTTGACCGTTAGATTTTATGAAAACTCTTATCTGTATCCATTATCTTACAGATATGGGTGCGACCAGTGAATAGATGGATGGCAAAGTATAAGTTGCAACAAGACCACAGTGGCACAAGACCTCAGCCTGCGTGACTTGATAATACATCCTCAGTATCCATTTATTGATGCTTATCGTAATGACAAAGTAACTTGTCATTACTGTGGATTGGTGGAGATAAAGTGTCCATTGTGCTTTAACGAAATCAACTTCAAGATGACCCTATCAAGAAAAAAAAATTGTTTCGGTGGGTCTGGTCGTGAAGGTTTCAGTCTAACGTTGGACACCGATACTACAACCAGATACAGTTGCCAATGAAACTTAAGCGAGGCGTAATAATAATAATATTGCGACTTTGTGATCTGAAAGGAAATTCTGATGGGTAGCCGGCTAGCCGCAACCTTTTGTTTAAAGAATATTATGAGATACGACTTAAGAGTCTAAACTTTTATTTGAGAGGGGTGTAACCCAAGCTAATTTGCAAATAGTATTCATGGTACCAAATGTATCACACACTTTACAGTAATTATACATTATATTTGAAAAATAAAGAACATCAAAAATGTATTTTTAAAAAACAATTGGTTTTATCTGCAGATACTAGGTTGATATTGTAATTTCTATCAAATATTTTACAGTATTATGGTTTTAGTGAAAAGGGGGGGTAGGCGGCTTTTTTTTTAGTGTGGTAGGTCTAGTCGAAAGACACATTAAATGTTTATGCTAACAACTGCGAATTAATATTGCAACGCATACAAGTTAACAGAATTTGTTGAAATGGTCCTGCCTTTTGCCTTTCTTCAAAATCCTCCTTTTTCTAACTATTCTCTTCTTCTCTGGGGATGGCGAAAATTCAAATATCAATGGGACATGTAAGCAGCTGATAATAGGTTATCTTCCCTTTTTCCTGAAAATAAATTAAACACTAATCATCATTTGACAGTGCCAAGTTTGTGTATCAGATCAGTAATAAATTACCTGCTAACTAACAAAACAATCAGACAACACCTTCTGACCATTAATGAAGATTTCTTTCAATTTAAAACGCAACTATGCCTACCAATGTGGGTAGTTTTTAGGATAGAATTTATCTGTGGTTGGGGACAGACTGCAAGGTGCAACATCGTACGATTACCATTCTATGTCGGAATTAGTTAGCCAGTTATTTGTTTTAGAAGCATGGACATGATGGTGGGGGATGTCGTGATCGACCAGCGGTCATGTGAACCACCCTTAGTGGGAGGAGAGCTGCAATCCCTTCGTCCCCTCGCATATAACTATCCCCGCATGGGATTGGATCCTGTGAAGCTCCCAGGGGGATCAGAGATGCGGTGGCGAGCGTATTCTCAGATAGAGAATTCAATTGATTTCTGGTTATTTTTTGCATTAGCACTGGCGTTAAACTTTAGTTATCTATTCAAATTTTCACACTTACTAATAGATTACCTGCTAACTAGGGAAACAATACCTTATGGCAATTATTGATAAATACCTTACACGAGTCAAGTCTGCAAGTAGGCCTACGCCTAAGCCTACCAATAACAGTAGTTTGTCATCTGCTTTCTATTGAAATGAGGGAGCTTATGAATATTTAAAAAAATTGATAACGGCACATCATGACTCACCATCAACGAAGTGCTGTCCGCAAACAGTGAAACACGAGTAAGATGGCTTCTGGACTTGACACCAAGCAGTCCTGTCAATAGATGATATCCACATTGCGCGACGTTCCGGATCTTTTGAAAACAGTGGAATATAGCTGAAGATCCATTTCGTTGTCCATACTATACGTACAGCCAGCGGAACAATACGAAATAACCATTTACAACAGCCAAACAAAACGGAAACGTATAATCCGACTTGCAACTGACAGGAGCCAAATGGACGTTTTGGTTTTATTGCCGTCCAGTAACAAGGTCACGTGACCCGTGCAAGTCCTCTATATGATGTTTAGACCCGCCAATGATATGAAACATGTCATTCTTGTCATTGCAATCGCGGACAAATCAAGCGAAATTGCAATACTAATTTTTTTGTAAACTAAAAATATGTTTTAGCAGATTTTTCTCACGGATATTTGTATCTGCTGTTGCACACGATACCTATATTTGACATATGAATAAGTTTTCATCGTATTTCCTTTCACGCTAAATAAATATAAAAAATCCAAGAGCTATCTATCACCTCTGTTGCCCTCTCGTGTTCAATATCCCTATCGTCGTGGCAACACCAAGCGCTCGACTGGAATCGTTTCGGAATTTGGAGTTACTGCGATTGCAAATCATTTTACACTTCTCGAACTTTTTTCGGTTGTTAAGCTGCACGAGAAGTAAATATCCGAGATAAAGTTTGATATCCAATATGCCCGAGCCTGGTCCAGAACCAGGAGAGGGGGCGGGGGAAGTTATTACTAACGGTAAAGATGAAAACGCTCCAGAAAATATAGAAAATCAGGAAGATAATCTTCTCGATATCAGAGCGTCACCTACCGCAAGACCACAAAGCAGAGGCAGTGTATCTCCAACTCGAAAGGTTAGTTAAAGTTTTTTTTTATCCTATCTGATAGTAATATATATGAGCAATACAATCTTCAGCACTCTCTTTCCAGCTTTAGGGTTTAAGATCATATCCAATATACTGATATATAACTTTGTTTTCTAAAATTCTCACTTTTCTGGTAATTTGTTCACTTTGCATGCATTGCTGTTGTTTTGCATATGTTAAATTTATCAATTAATTTGTTTCTCAGACAATAAGTCGAATCAGCAGCGCACATTCGACACAATTTGCTCGTCCTCGCAGTGGTTCGTCTCAAGGATCTGTTGAGATACGTGATGACAAAGATGACGATGCTGCAAGTGATGGCGGATACGACACAGATCTAGAAATTGAAGGTTCATTTCTATACTGCAGTACTAGGCTATGTCCAGTTGTTATATTGACAGCTCAGAGAGTTTGCAGGTTTTAACAATATATGGGAAAACTAAAACAGAATCAAAGTAGGAAGTTATTATATTAAATTATCAATGTATTATATTTCATTCATCAATACATTAAAACCATCAAAGATTTATATACTGGAAAGTATTTTCACACAGTATTATACAATTGCTCGCAGTGCCAATTTTTAAGCAAAATACTGAAAAGGAAGAATAAAACCATAGCATAACTATAATATTCGTATTGCTATCCTAATTCAGACATATTATATTTGTTGTTTCAATCAACCTAGATGATTTCTACCACACATAATCATTCCCAATAACTTTTTAGTTCGATATATTTATTAAATATTTGGCCGTGTTTATAATATATAACATATTTATTCTATATATTGTTTTTTTCCAAAATTTTATTCAGCGAATCGTGAAGAGTATGATACAACTGGAAAAACAACTTATAAAGAAGCCTGTAAACAATTTGGTGTTATCCCGGTGTCTTATTTCTTGCGTCATATGCAAGATACAGAACTTATCATGAGACATCATGGACTTGGTCCTGCAGGAGGAAAAGCTATTGCTGTGTCACTTGTGGTAGGATATTACTCATATTTATATTCAAACAAAATAAATTAATTTTATTTGTTTTATTATTTTTACGAGTTTGAATGAAGTATATAAAAACATGCAGGACATAGTTTAAATTATTTCAAATTTTTTAAGATTAATTTTTTAATTTCTTTGACTAGAATTCTGTTTTACAAGTATTTTTTTCTGTTATATATTCTGTTAATCTTTGTTGCAGTCCAATACAAGAATTTTGAAATTGGATCTCTCCGACAACTGGCTAAGTGGAAAAGGTGGTGCAGCTATTGCTGATATGCTGGAAGAAAATTGTTATATAACGGAACTGGTATGTTTAGAAAAGTTTTCTCACAGAGAACTTCAACTTTTTCTCTGTGATTGTTTGGTTAAACAACATCTAAAGAACTCTTGTGATATTAAAGAAGCTTAATTATGAGCAGGGCTGGGCGTAACTTATGCGGGATGTTCGAAACAAATTGCCAGGGAAAAAATTTAGGTAGAGATTAGGATAATAACTAAAATTGAATTTGTGAAAAAAAATAAATTCATCTTTACCTTTTTATTACCTGGTACTGAAACTTATATAACAGAAGTTCTCACTATGAGTTTGATTCTTTAGTTGGTTTCAACTTCTTCCAGATTAATATTCTTCATCACTGGAATTAGAAAATCTAGTAAATCTAGTTAATCTATCAATCTACAATTAATCATTACATATGGGAATATTGCATTCTTTTATTTTGTCAATTCTAGATTCTTTCTGATAACAAGCTCGGGTACGATGGAGCAAAAGCAATTTGTGCAATGTTGCAAAAGAATGACAACATTAATCGAGTCAACATATCTGGGAATGAATTCGCAAGCAAAGCGGCAGAACCTATTGCCGAATTGTTAATGTCGGTAGGAAATAAGATTCGGTCGAATTATTGAATATAAGAATTATAGTGATTGAGTCTAACATAAGGATAAACAGTCCGCAATTTTTGATATGTAGGATCAGTAATAACAAATGAACATAGGGGTTCAAATGTGCTACAAGAATCAATTTTTGCTTTTGGATGCTTTTGGATTTCAATTTGAGTTTTATGCATTACATATTTTATCAGTCCATTGTTATATTACCAGCCCTATTATAAGGCCATCAAAAAAATAAAACTCGAGGTACAAGAAAGATATTCTTCCAAATTACTGATCCATTCAATCTAAGTGCTAATATTTTTGTTGATTTAGAATACGCAAAAAGTCGAGTTCTTGAATCTCAGTGAAAATCATTTCGATGAGCCATCTGGGGAAATTCTTGGACCAGCTATTGCAGAAAACACATCTATCAAAGAAATTAATTTGAGTTGGAATTATTTCAGAAGAGGAGGTGCTGTTGCAATGGCTAAAGGAATTGGGGTAAGTTTTGAAATGTCTGTACTCTTAGGACATTTTATAATATTGGCTCGGTGGTGTGGCGCATCATGCCAAGTGCTAAGAATATGTTTCCCACGCACCTTTAGGTATGGGTTTGCTGGTTTGAATCTTGTGTGGAGTAATTATGTACGGGAGGATTGTTGGACACGGCCATAGGGTAGTTCACGGAATCAATATTCCAGATTGTTCAAATAACTTCACTGGCATGTTTACTCATACCTGGCAATCCCACTCTGTAGTTTTTTATAGTCTCAGTAACGCATTTTAGCAGCCACCCTTAATTTTGCTCGGAGATCAATCTTCTTATCTTGTTTTTGAGTGAGTGTGTGTGCTTTAAAAGAAAATTTTATTAAAAATTTCACCCGCAAATTAGAAATTGATGTGGTAGTTTGTCTTCACGATAGGCTTCCTATGTATCTTTGTTCATTCTTTTTTAAATGATCTTTTTTTCAGGCAAACATCTTCTTAAAATCTGTGAATATTTCATGGAATGGAATGGGATTGGAAGGTGCCACCACGCTTGGTGAAGCACTGAAAACAAACAATGTTTTGGAAGAATTGGATGTTAGCAATAACAGGATTTCTACTGAGGGTGCAATACTTCTGGCAAAAGGTTTGTGTGAGAATATCAATCAGTGATATTACATGGACTTGATCTGTCTGTCCAGCAAGTACAGAGTTCTTATTAAATCTAAAACAAAAAAGCATCACAAAGTTTTCTTTAACCATGACCATTATAAGCATGTTGGTGCATTGTGACAAGCATTAAGAATATGCTTGCCATTGTATTTTTAAATACCCTGTGTGTGTTTGCGGGCTTGAATCCCATGGGCCTGAATTATGTGCAAGAAGATTGCTTGACAGTCCTCGTCACCAAAGGGTGGTTTACTTAACCGCTGGTCAGTTACGCCTTTCTCCACCATCAAGTTCACCTATCTGAAACAGATAACTGACTTACTAATCCCATATCCAAACTCCGATGCACCAGTAAACAGACAAGAGGATGTGGTTCGCCATATCAGTAAACCATCTTATCGGCTTTCCTATACTCCTACTTATGAAAATAATATCCTATTTGTGATAATAATATTTTATACTGACAGTTACAATATGTCGAAGAAAAATGGTTGTTATTCCTAATCCTATGGCGATTTTAACTGTAAAATGAATGAATGACCATGATTCACCATATGATTACGTCATCTTATTAATTTTCCTTTTCAATTTCTTTGTTCAGTTATTGTTAAGATTTCATATAGTTATTAATCACGATTATAGTATTAATTTTCAATCATACAAAACTTCTGCAGGATTGCTGGTAAATGATACATTGAGAATTCTCCACATTGGGAAAAATCCGATGCAGTCTGCTGGAGCATTTGGTATATTGACTGCACTGAAAGAAAACTCTGGATCTGCCATTGAACACTTGGGTTTTACTGATATTGTGGTAGGATATATATTTTATGGTGGCACCTATGAAGTTAGAAGCATTGAAATTATAAGTATATTGTGACTGTCGCCGTCGGTATTACAATCTCTTTATTTTTCGTTATGTGTTGTAACTTATTCAAATAAATTTTTACATCTGGTTCCTTTTCAATGGAAATATTCCATCATGCAATATTTGCACTATTTTTCCCCAGGTGAACAAAGACTTTGTAGATCTGGAAAAAGAAGTCAAAGAAAACAGACCAAAATTAGTAATTATCCATGGCGGTGCTGAATCTGAGAAAAAGAAACCAAAAGCTAGGGTAAGAATAACTTTGATATAATTTCAATTGTCGGTGTTGTGGCTCATTGGGCTAAGCATTAGGAATAAACTTGCCACCCACCTTCCCGTTACACTACGTGGGTTCGCAGGTTCGAATCCTGTGCGATGGGATTGCTGGACTCATCGCCGCCATAGGGTGGCTCACAACGGTTACTGTTAGGTTACGGTTCCTTCACCATCAAGTCCATGCATCTGAAACATATAACTGGCTAGCTAATCCTATACCAGATACGGACTAGTAACCAGACAGGAGGCTGTTGTTTGTCATATGATTGAGCCGCTTATCGACTCTCTTTCCTCCTATTCTATTTTATATACGAATTGTATCAATTAAATGGGAAACCACAATCGTTTGCTCGTTTATCAACCAGGGTCTGTATAAGATTAGTTAACCAGTTAATTGTTCTATTTCGATGGGATAGACCTAAATGAACGAGGAAGCTCTAATGTATAATCGACTAGTAGTTAAGCCAACCGCCCTGTAGTGGTAAAGTGTTCAGCAATCCTCCTGCACATGGCTACCACCCACTATATTCAAAACTATGAACTGTGCTAATCAGCAACATATGGGCCGGCGGTGTGATCATGCTAAGCATAGGAATCTGCTTGCCAACGCACCTCTAATTACCCTGCATGGGCTCATAGGTTCAAATCCCACGTGGGGATAGTTATGTGCCAGGGGATTTCTTTATTCCTGGCTTCGTTGGGTGGTTCATGCATGCAGCCGCTGATCCATGCACATAAAAACATCCCATATAAATTAATCCCATACCCTCATGGACTGGTATCAGGACGGTAGGTCGTGGTTTCCGATATGATCAAGATGTGTTATCGTCTTACCCCTCCCCCGGGATACATACGTATATATCCTATGTTTCTAACTTTAGAGCGGTCCACCAGCATCTCAAAACATGCTGTTTATTTCTCATTATTTTTTATTATATTGCTTATTTCTTTTATATCACTAATCAACCTTGTTTTTAGCCCGACCCAATGACAAAGATTCGCAAATATGTTGAAGAAAACAACATGAGACTTGTTGATTTTTTCAATTCTTTTGATGAAGACAGTAGTATGAGCATCACCAGAGAAGAATTACAGAGAGGAGTTGAAGTAAGAATGTTTTAATGTTCTGATTCTTTGACTATTTTATGTGAAAATTTTTTTGGGTTTATAAAAATCAGTTTAAAACAAAGTTACAGTGCACCTCTGGAAATAAAACAGAAGCTCATTTGATAAGTCATGAATGTCCACCGGAATTTACTTTTATTTTTTTATTCGTCATTTATCACTTCGTCTAGTCTTATCATTTGTCAGGATTGAAAAAACTGTAATATTACAGGTTTTCCGAGGCCTTTGAGTTTCCTAAATCTAGGAGAAGCTGAGGTTAGGACATACAATGATTCAAGCAACCTTTATGCAAACCGAACAACAGATAATACCTATTTATCATCAATGAATACGTAACAAATTTAATTGACAGTTACCGGTAAATCTTTTATCCCAGGGCTGTGCAACAGGCGGCCCATGTGACACAGATTTACATTTTTTTCCCATCAAGCATAAAAACCTGATCCGACAGTTTATGTTTGAAAAAGCACTCACATGGATAAAAATATGTAATGTTTTCTTGCTATCGTCTTTTTTCAACGCATTGCTCGGAGCATTTATTACTGTAAGACAAAGCGATAGTCGCATTCTCTTGCCTTCCTGCTTGATTTTATGTGTGGCCTAGCTAGATGTCTGAAGTTGGTTATATGGCTGCTGACAAAATAATGTTGCACAGTGCACACCCCTGTATTATCCCTTTGTGAGTGATTAACAGCAGACTACATTTATTAAAGTACTTTGAATAACTATTGAAAAATTATATATTAATTACATCATAGCAAGCTGGTATTATGCTGACGCAAGATGAAATGAAACAACTTTTAGAACTCCTTGATAAGGATGGTGATGGTGAAATCAACTACAGGTGAGACCTATTTTTTTTACATTTGCTATTGGTTTGTTTGTGGATAACACAAGTGTGTGTTGAGTTTACCTAAGTACTTGTTTAACTATGTTACATTTAACTGTGTTAACTTACCTGTTCTAACCTAAAAATAAATTGCATTGGCATAAAATCCTTGGTAAAACTGGATTATGGAATTAATGTGAGGGTAAATTGAAGTGTAAATTTTCTTAATGGGGTGTATTGCAGCAGCAGCTAGTACTTTGCGTTTAAATTTCCGTAATTTCTTCCATAAAAATCCTCCATTTTATATGAGTTTAAAAAACTATTATGTGTGATCTTTGTCATTTCGTAATATTGCTTTCTCAGTTAAGCAATCTTTTCATGCATAATCGTCGCCCATAATCTTGGTTTTTTGCGGCTCTAGCTTTGTGTATATGAACAGACAAAGCATTGTTCAATACGAGCTATGAATAAAAATAAAAATAGCAATAGTGCATCATAATGTTTGATTTGTTAAGAGTTTCTTCATCCAAAACTCGATCAGGCGGTTTCTGATGGTAGAACGTGGTCGATACAGTGGTTATACAAAGGTAAATGACCACAAGGCACAAACACTTTGAAAAATTGCACATGCACCATGAATACTATACTATCACATTCACCCAATTACAATAATTACAATTTCTCGTCTAATTGATCTATAATTTTTATTTTCTCCCTATTCCCTATTCTGACCCAGGGTAGGCAATTGGGAGATTTTAGTTCTTTTAAAAATAGTGTCTTCCTGTATGTCAGTATCTGCCTGTACAACGACTACTTCTTCAGAATTGGAAAATACCTACCGTATTTCACAGATCATACAGCGCACCATCAATAAACTGCCCAGATAGGGATTTAATCCATACACAAAGAACACCAGGCTATAAAACAAAACCGGTACTGTAGTGTAGGCAATGGAGCATAAAGCACTACAATATATATACAGGGTGTCCCAAAATAAATGAAACCCATTAATCCGATTACCAATTTTGTGGGTTTTATTTATTTTGGGACACCCTTTTTTATACATTGTAAAAATTAAAATATTTAAAGTGTGCCTTATGGTCTGTCAAATGCAGTACAATAAAAAACTATTATTCATATGTTCTTATCATATCCAGACAGACCAATTTCTGTTGGTTGTTTACTAAAATAGTGTATAGCAAAGTTTATATGAAAACAATTGTTTTGTATTCAAAGTCACTATACACAAAATTTATCATGTGTACACAAAGTCGTATAATTTGCCAAAATATCTATGAAATCCTGAACATTGTCTTACAATTTGTATTGTTTTTGGTGGTATCCTTGTTAATAATATTGGGTTTTGTTATAATTTGCCAATTTGAATTTTTTTACATTTTTGAATAACCTGCATGATGTGTTTTGTTGTGTTGCATGTGTGTTATTCCAGAATAATGCTGGCAGTTCTTGAACTTGAATGAACATCTTCAATTTGAAAAGGTAGGTTGGTTTTCTTGTAGCATAGTGTGTAGGTATGTACATGTAATTGGTGTGATATATTTTATTGTATTGTTGTTCAAGAAAATTTGGTATTTTGAGTCTGTGATAATTAACAATAAATGCTAGTTCGACATCAGCCACAAAAATATTGTAAGTTTCGATGAATTTACATTGGAATTAGATAAGCCATTTTCTTCCATCAAGCAACCATGAAAAAGTTTGCCCTATTGGCTGGCTGTCTTACTTGGCCATTTTTCAAGGTGTGCAACATGATGGACTGTTTTCATATCTATTTGTATGATTCAGTGTTTCAAAATTCTGTTATTGAAAATCCAAATTTTAATGATCATTCTTTATCGCCCATTATGTATTATTTATTGTAATTTCCTTATTTTAAACTAATTTTTTGCAGCGAACTCGTAATTGGAAATCTTGAATATTTGCAAAAAGAAAAAGAGAAGAAAGACAATGAAGAAGAAGATGCCTAAAAATTTGTAGTTTCTTATTCACTGCGTTATAAGCACATGTATTTGACCACCACAAATTTGTATCTTGGATCCTAATATCTATTTGTCAAAACTATACTTCTTTTATGAAGTTCTAGTAATTTTACAACTTTTTTAAACATGGTTTATGTTCATATTACTAACACACTTCCATTAGAAAATTTTCACCAAAATTAGCCATTATCAGGAAGATTTTGTATCTGTATTCTGTTTTTCATGATTTTCCTATAAACCTACCGTAAATAATTGTTTTTCACTGCAAATATTTAGTCAATTAATTCGGTACAGGATGGCTATTTCAGACCTTACTTACACTCATTCTTTTTGTAGTCATCAATTTTGTCAAAATCAGTGATAAAGCCACAAAACTATCCACGCACACAAAATTTTGTATCCTCACTTTGAATATAGTAAATACAGGACGTGCGTTACTGCTATAAAAGTTACTGTATTTCAGTTCTTATGCTTTTATTTATGAATTGATGCCATTATCTGGTTTCTTGTAATGTATTTTGTGTGTTTAGATTTCTAGTCGGTCTTCATTTAATTCGAGACCAAACACCTACTCCGTTGTAATGTCTAATGAGTGAAGTGCACATATTAAGTGAACTCATACAATTCACTTATAATATTGTTTTTTTTATAGTGTATTGTATAGACTGGAGTTTGTATCTACTTCGAAATTCCCTCATTGGAATTTGTGTCTTCTGACGAAGAAGATTTACAGACCGATATATTTATATATAATTTTTGATGTTATATTAGCAATGTTTACCTATTTTGCTTCTAAGCCTGCTTAATTCCACTTTGTGCATTTACCTATTTAACCCTACATTGTGTCATTATCACTTCACTGTGTTATTTAATTTGAAAGATGTATTAAAGGGGGATAAATTTTGTTCAGTATTTTTAACTGTAAACAAATGCCAGGCATGTTTGACAGTGGACTAAACTTCATGCACATAAACGTTACATTAGACTCTAATATTTATAGTATATTATTACCCTTCCGTATGTTAGATAACAAGCCTTTGTTCTGAATTCTGAAACCAGATCATAAATCAAATTCTAGTTGTTCTTCTAAGTTTTGAAATGAATGAAGTTTTTTTTTAAATTGTCTGCTTTCAAGTTTGTGTATTTTTTTTTTATCTGAAATACTTTGCTACAGTAGTGTCTTAAATGTTTGGCTTATTATATGTATTTTTCACATCCCTTTGTGTAAGTGCAGCTTTGGTATCGAAATAAAGTTCTAAAATTATTTATGTATATCGAATTTGTATGCAAATATGTTTCAACAACAGCGAAATCTGGGGTTTTCAAATTGGAATACCGGGAGTACCGTCATAAGTACATTGCCACTTTCAAACGCGCATTTCAGTTTTCCAAGTTCAGGGCTATTAAAAGCTGAATCTGAATGTTATTATAAATATTGCTTATGCATGCATATCTTTACTAGGATTTAGAATGTTTGAGTTATGTAAGAGGTCAAATCGCAAAACGTTACCAAGTTAGTGCTACATTTAAAAAAATGCTGATTTAAAGAACACCCAAATATTAAATGTCGTTTAGGTAGGTATGTATATATTCATACTTCTGTGCATCACATTACAAACCTTAAAGTAGTGTCATTTTTGCGTTACATGCTTAGATATATGGAGTTAAGCGGCAGTGATGACTGTAAAGTTTGAAATCCCATTATTTATAGAAGTTTGGTGTTCTCTGATGACCTGACCACACCCACTGATCCTGACACAATTAACAACTGAGTTTTATCAAATGTATATACGCAACTTTTGAATACAGTGGTTCAATATAATACTTGTTAACAAGAGCAAAACATAAAGAACTAGCCCTTAAAAAATTATGAACTGGTTACAGAATTTGAGCTTAGGGGAGGAATTGGTTGGGTTACAGAAAATGGGGAAGTGACATGGGGTGTGTGGCGACTCAAAACATGTGAAGGACTCAATAGAGGACGAATTCCAATATCGCTTTTTCCACTGCTAGATGGTGGACCAGAAGCAGCACCAAGCAGTCTTAAAGTTCTGCCACCTTTCGTAGTGATCATCACGTTTCCTATAATAGTTCCATCATCCCGTAGAACCGGTGCTTGTCGTAGTGGTCCCAGGGTGCGTGATTCCGCCCCCTTTTTGGTTTGGTCACCCTCCGTAATCACTACTCCTGGTGAAGCATCGATACTTTCAATTAACGATGGGGGTAGAGGTTCAACATTTGGATCTTCATCTTTTCTTCTAAATGCTGGTTGGTGACGACTGTGAGCAAAACTTCTTTGGGTGCTTTGTGCTGTCATTCGTGTTTTCCCTGTAATTATAAGCAAAATTTTGACTGAATCATGTGGATTATGCGTTGTGATTTATGAATTTGAATTTAAATCAATAATGTTGAGAAATTTGCATATTTCAAGGTTCAATTTCTGATTTGGTAATCAATTTCTGCTAATTGCCTACTACTGAGTATTAAATGCTGATCTAGAAACTTGATTAAATTCTTATTCTAATCAAATTGCATGCGACAGAGAATTAATTATTTCAGAGGAATTTAAATCTTGGTACAGTTTCTTGAAGATTCCAGCTAATCGTCTTGTAGTTGTGATACAAATAATAATCTCACCTGTCGGTATATTTCTTCGTGGAGAAGGAGGAGCAGGAAGTAAGTTTTTAGGTTGTTCTTCTACTGTTTGTTTTTCTTCCATTGGCACTCGACTGGTATGAAAAATATGAGTAAATTAATTGGTAATGAATTAATGTTTTTGGTGCAAGGCATAATTTACCCAGTACAGCTGCATAAATTATGCCTACACCCCCAAATGAGGGAATCATACCACAGAAATTTGAATAAGCAAATGTTTTTTTTGGAGGATCTATTGAAAATATATCTATATCCACATTTATTTATGCTTTATATGAATGTCATTTCCCCACTGGTTTTCCTTGGTAATGAAATTATGACAGAACAGACATTATTACCTTGGTGAAAGTCTTGTTCTTCTTGCTCTAGGTTTCCATTGAATCTTCGCTAGTGATCTTAGCTTTCCTGTTCGCATTGCTTCAAGTCTTTGTGCTGCTGCTTCAGCCTCTGGATCTATAATGCTGTAGTTAACTCTCACCTGTAAACAAAATGTCACAAATTATTTTAAAGCTTTAACATAGAAATTCGAAATACTGTATCCTCAAATAGCAAGTATGACCAAAAACAAAGCTTAATCATAAGTTAAACCACTCTTGACTGGTTACTATTCTGGGTCAGACATCAAAACAGCTAATCAGTTAATAGTTCCAAATGTATAGAAATGGGAAGATGGAAGAAGCTGTGACGACCGAGAAAACCTGATGCATATACTCATTCCCTTCGGGATTCGGACATGCAAAGCCTAAGTAAGTAGTGCAATCTTCAGTTATGCTGATTATAGGGCTAAAATAAACTTATGAAGCTTGTCTATGTTCTGTACAAATTAGTTAGTTTCACCACAAAACATTCATTAATGTAAATAGTAACTTTAGTAAATGTATTTTTTATTAGTACCTTATGGGTTGGAAGACTTTTTGTGTCTAGTCTCATAACAGCCACAACATTTCCTTTCTCATCAAATGTAACTTCTTTATTACCAGGTGGACGACCTGCTTGCAGTTTGAGTAATGATTTTTGAGATGGAGATAGATGTGCACCGGCTGAAAAATCAGTTCTTAGTGGATTATTCAAGATTTTTATTACCGGTATATATTTTAAAAGGAATATATGGATAATTGTTTTCGAAAATACCACAAACTCGATTCGGAACGATTTTTCATATCTAAAACGTGTGGAACCACCTGCTATTTATTCGAATGTTTACGTCGATACATTACTATCTGATTTAATAATAAATTTCAGGTTTCCTCTATAGATCTTAACAGCATAAATAACTACTTACGTTCTTTGGGTAAATCAAGATCCGATAATTCCCTTGCAAATAAGTCACTTTCACTCTGGTCCAAAGTCCTTTCCATCTCTCCAAGATGAGCAGAAGGTAATCTACCAACATGTTTCTGAACAAAAAAATAACATGAATTAATTTATAGTATTTATATACAAAAGTAAAATATATTTTTGCCACAGACCAATGATAAGAAGATAAGTTTCATCATTGGTTTTTTGAAACAATACAATCACATATCTGGCTTTTATTTATGCAAAAATATGATAATGATACAAAAAAAGGAAAAATTCTACCACACATCTGCAACAACCAGTATGATCATGCAATTGGGATATTACAATTTCCAGTTACATCTGCCTCACACGTTAAATAAGTAGTGATATGCTATGTACTCAAATCCACTTGTCATGTTTTATCCTTAGTTTTGGAAATATAATCTTACATGATTACATTTGTCGCCATCGGGACCAATCAATTCGAGATCATCTTACGTATTGACCATGCTCATTGTTATCTGATAACTGGTAAAAATAGTCCATTTATTTTTATTACATTACCTTGTATGTGAATTTCTTTTTAACAGGTTTTTCTACTGGTTTCTCAACCTCTTTTTCTACAAAAAAATTACAGTAAAGATTGGTCTAATATCAAAGAAGTAATCAAATATTCATCATTGATGGATGTAAACTTTTAGCAATTAGATAGACTTTCCAACAATCATACAATGCCCTTTTTCACATTTAATTCAATATTTTAAAAATCTGAACCTGTAACACCTTGCAGTGTACTAACATCCAGTATAATTATCCAAGAGCCAAGGTCAATTTTATTTCCATAATAAACAAATATTGGGGCTCCCGAAGTATGCGAACCAAGATGGCGGACATCGGAATGTAATATGTGTACTAGGTTAGGGTTAGGCCATAACTTTAGGTATAAATACTGCGGGAGGCTCTTGTCTAGTCTTCGAACTGATAATAGGACTAAAATAAGGAAAATTGGAAAAAAATTATCGCCTAACCCCAACCTGTTACCCATGTTACATTCCGATGTCCGCCATCTTGGTTCGCATACTTCGGGAGCACCCAAATATTAATATAAAATCAAAATTTTCGTCAAGGAATTGAAATGTTTCCAAGATGTCCTGCGTAGTTCATTTACTTTCAACTTGATAACTATACACTTTTTAAATGATTTAAATGATGGAATGCTGAGAGTAGGATTTACAAACCTTTTTCTTCAATAACTGGCTTTGTTTCTTTTTCTGTTTCATGAGTACTGAGTCCTGTTCCTAGTGATATTGTTTCAGTTCCAGAATCATCAAGTGTTCGAACTTCTTCATCTTTAAATGAAAATATTAGTAATAAACAAATTATAGAGGATGTAGAAGGTATTAATATTATGAAAAATAAGTTCACTGTGATATGTAAAACTTACTCAAAAAAATTGCGTAAGTATGAGTAGCAATCCTCGTGATGAAAGATCAAAAAATACCGAAAGATGGCTAAATTAATATATAATCTTAAAACCTGGTTTTTCCAATATTTCTTCTAACAAAGGTGGCATTTCAAATTCAGGAGATTTTGTGAAAATAATTGGCACAGATCCTTGTGCCCACGAGTCTATAATTCCTGGCTCTGGTTCCTATGAAAAAAAGAATAATACTAAATGTTAAACGGACGAAGAGAAGTAAATTCAGCAAAAGGAATTAACACATTCAATATTATAAATTTGAAAATTTCCGACAAACAGAATAGGAGTATAAAAAGTAGTTTGTGACTCCCATTTTTGTAATATGTTTGGTGAGTTCTTGAAATTTTGTCTCAAAATAAAAGAACAATTTGGTAAAACCATCAATATCACCAGTTAAATACAAAAGAATAAATAAACATAAAAATACCTAATACACAATTTTTCATTGATAACTCAAAGCAATAAAGAAATTACATATTCGTAAATGCAAAATAAGATGAACTACACTTACATTATCTTCAGCCCATCCATGATTTACTTTGACATCAAGTTCACCAACATCATGACTGAGAAATCTCCATTCAATGATATCTAGAAGATCATCTTTGGCTTTGAACACAGTGTATGGTAACACCTTAATTTGAAAGTTTAAATTTTATAAATTGGCATATTAGTCTAAACTTTTTATTCAATCTGTTTTCAGTTGCACTTGACAATTAGATAGGCCTATATTACAACTGTTAGCTAACCATGCATAAAGTAAGTGGAATACAACTTTCATTTTCTGTGTAAATATTCCAATTATTTGTAAAATTGTTTGTTTTGTTTATTTGTTGCTTTTGTCCTATAGTAAATTCCTGAGAGCCTTTTTTTGCAGCTCAGAATCAAGAGTATGGAATGAGAAATAGTTTTATTCATCCCAATTAGATAAACAACATACAAAAGTGATTAAGCTGTTTTCAAACACAAAAATTCCAACCAAGCTTTGTCATTTTACGAATTCTGGATATGCAATGAGAAAGGGACTATCATCAACAATAGATTTACTTGCCTGCTTCCACACATATTTATCATAGCATTTGTCCATTGTAATATCCAAAATTTCCTCAACAATTTGTGAAACAAACTCATCGTCATCTTCAACACCGGAAATTTTATTCCAATCTGCTACTGTCATTCGTCCAGGTATGATATCATTACTGACAGCTGGGATAGACACGGATTGTGCCCCGCCGCCACCTCTACTCGCCCCCTTTTCTCCCCTCGATTTACTGTCTTTTTGTCGAGACATTTTGTTTTCGGTGTGTCTTGTCAAATGCTGCCTCTCGTAAGTAGAAGTTTAAAAATTCTCCTCACTTTTCTCAAATCTATTCTTCTATAATCTATATCAACATGTTTTGGACGATAAAATAGACTCAGTGCAACTGGAGGTGGGAAATCCACGAACTATTCTATCCATCGTCATGGAAACAACAAGGAACTCTTACGCCACCTAGTAGTGAGTTGGTACCAATTTGACTACACTGGACACGATCATACAAAACAGCATATTAAACAGTTGATTCTTCCTAAACCGTAAACTTTATGACCGATACGGTTTGAATCCGCCCGCTTTATGTATTTTATACTTTCTTGGAATATATATGAAACACTTAAACATCATGTAGGCCTACCCTGAATGACTGCGCGATCGGCACCTTCGCCCGCAGCCCTAGGACGATGCTCGGTAACATTGTGTTCTGTAACGAAATAGTCGCAATATGTTTTGATGCAGCGTACCTTTTTTCCTTCTCGTTGCCTGAAAATGAGCAGAAACGGCCGTGCTCCAGAAAGTCTCAAATGCAATAGCTTGATTTCTGTCAGTGCGCGCAATGCATAGCTTCCCGATATTTCAGGTTTCCTAATTTGGCATAGACTTGTCAATGTTCCAATCTGGTACTCGATAAGTAAATAACGAAACATTTTTTTTTATATAGAGTCAGCAATGATTTAATATATATTGCAAGGTGTTTAAAAATCTAATCGGACACAAATGCGCTTCTCTAATTGTCGTTGTTGAAGCTGTAAAAATCGCTTCTCTCCGCACCCAAGGTAGGCTACAATGTTTTTTTATACTTTCATTACTTAAATATTAAAAAAGTCGTTAGAATGCGCTACCACTGCTGCTTTTTCTCATTCCTATTTTCTATGATTCGATTTTTCGAAAAGATTTTGCAAAAACTATGACTTCCCGTATATACAGGGTGTCCAAAAAGTTTTGCCCAACTATAAAGTATTTATCAAATGTTATTATTTTTTTAATTTCAAAAAAGATTTCAACCTGTTTCTAATTGAATGTTATAGATGTTGAATGTTGTAGTCCCCATTTATTATACAACCACATTTATTCAAATTTGCAATCGGTAATGCTATGAAATCGGGCGGAACTTTTTGGACACCCTGTATATATACAAAATATATAATGACGTAAGAAAATGAATTTGTTCAATTCTTCGTTGCACAATTCCACGCTTTGAAATATCAAGGTATATTAATTTGTCGTATCATTTCAATCCAGTGATGAGTAAGATAAACTGTTGTGATTGTCGCCTTCAATCAGCTAATTACATAACGCAAACGAAACTACATCGTTTACTTTGAACAGAACGAATTATGAAAGGTGGTTTGTAACATTCACACACATATATATATATATATCATATTTTTCCAACGCTCTTCTAGAAATCATAAACGCATTGAGAAAATGAATGTATATATATAATGAATCGTACATATTTTTAAGTACTGCCTAAAAAAGAAAAGGCACCTTTTCTATCGACTCAAATTCAAACATGTTATAAACAACGTTGTAAAAGATTGGTACAGAAATTTATATATATATTGTAAAATTCAAGCGTCCACAACTAAATTATTTCCATATAGAAAAGATACTGGTGGTAATGTAGATCGGTTGATATTTTCATCGCAGAGAAAATATGATCTTGGTTGTTCCGTTGTATCTTTCATATTACTCTCAAATTGGTTGTCTCCTCTGTAGATATCTGTAAAATAACATTTGAATAAATAACACAGATATTTTGAAACTCTGGAATTGGTTTTCATGAATTCTATATGTTGGTTTTGTGGAATGCGGGAATTCGCGTTAGCGCTAATAATTTATTTAAATTAGTTAGAGAAACGAGCAACAACGTGACATAGTGTGATTCCATTTCCTCGGATTTGGAAAAAATAATGCGATTTTAGAAAAAAATTACTTGTGGGAAAATGTAACCGAACTGAGTCTACAGAAGCAAACTATTTCACCCATGACGACGACGATGAGAAAGTAGTTTAGCGGTAGCTTATTTTCCACAGAACATGCATGAAAATTGTTTAACGTATGGAAAATGGACATGGATGTTACATGGATATTACATTTAAAATCTCGCAATTTAAGTTATTTCACATTTATTACAAAAAGTCAATTAAGGATAGGCTATAAAAGAATTTGTTACAGGTTTGAATTGTTCATAAATTCCGCCCTAGAAATGTCAATGGAAAATAAATTTAGGTCCGATTTAGCAGGTGAACTAATATTGAAAAGAAATAAGAAGAAATAGAAATAATCTTTGTAGAACATATGTAAAATTGACTAATCGCGTATTTTATGGAACTTTCGAAATAAAAAAATTTCCGGCCGAGATAACGTGAAATGAACCTGAAAAAAAAAATAATAATAAATGTGACTTTAAGTCTTGTCTTCGTCCAAGCCTCTTTTAGTTACGACTGGGCCTTAAATGACATAAGTTTAACTACGAAAAAATGAATTCGCTGAGTGACATATTGCTACGGACGGTTTGTCTTCGATATTTTGACTGTCCGGTTTCGAATTACATCCCGCACGCGCTTAAAAGTATCTCTACCCAATTTTTATCGTCTTGGGTAATGTGAAATTGAATGAGGCGTTTTCCCACAATTAGTGATATATAGCATCGCGACTGGAAAGTATATGAATCATGTTTACATTTCATCGAATACGCTATCAGAGGTTTTGGTTTACGTTTTAAGTTCTGTCAATCGGATGACATCAGAGTTCGGCGGCTAGAGTGTATCTGTGAGACAATAGTTTTCTGAACATATCAACATATAACACAGACAAATTCAAGAGCGTAGACAATGCTGCGTACATCAATTTTCGCTTTTCTAGAACTCAGTTCAAATTCTGTTTGCGAAATACGATTTTTTTATTTTAGTGTATTAAAAATTATCTGAAAATTACGTTATTGATTCTGGAGTACGAATTTGTGGCAATCAAGTGGAACAAACTTAAAAAAAGAAATTGCTATTCCCATTATTATCATTGTAATATAGATGATATAATAAAAAGTTCATTCTTACATGTTTATGGTATTTAAAAAATTTTGAAATATTTGCTCAGCTCTTGAGAAGACTTTTCACAATTGACGTCAATCGTAAGATTCATGTCATAAGGTTTAGGATAAATGATTACGGTAAATTAATCACGTGATCAAGGTTTTCATGGGTGATTGTTAAAAATAAATAATGTTAACGCATCAGTGCCAATGTATGGCGCAATTTGGATACTCTTTATATATTGTCTGTCACAGGAAGTTTCACTTAAACAACATTTTTAACCCTTTGTAGGCAGGCAATATCTTTTTTGTACCATTTAATTAAAAAGTTGGATTGTTCAAATTAAAAGTTGTGGGAATTCAGATGGACTCGGTTCTGTCATATTTGGTGAAGTCGAAAAAACTTATACATGTAAAGACTATTTATAATGAAGGTGGTTAATTATCTAAATTAATTCTTGTTCCCAAATTATGTGATTACAATCAGGATTGACAAAAGAATCTATAGGGTATATCCATGGGTTCGGACAGCTGAGACGTCATATAAAATTACACGCATTTTAGGGGCTGGCAAACCGATTTCAAGACCTTGCCTATTCACGTACAACCATCCGAATTGAAGACAATGAATTGAATATCCAGCGGTATCTCCATATCCTGTTCTGACGTCAAAGGATCATTAGGACAATGGACCACGAGTATCAGATGGGTATAAGATGCAGAGCAGACAATTGAGCAACACGCGAAACATTGATCAAAACAAGGTAATCAAAATGCAATTCCATTCATTTGCGTGACCATCTAACAAGTTGCTCATTATTTTAGAAGCTTCTTTGGGGTTTCGACTTGAACAAAAGCAACAATGGACTCAACTGAAAGCTACATGGATTAGGGCCACCTGAAAAGCGTAATATTCCACAATTACTAGAATAAAACACTCTTCATCTTCAGTTTATCCAATATGTATCAACGCTGTTTCAAACGGCGATTGGAAATAATTTAGCGAAGAGATATTGAAATTTTCTATAACAAACAACAATATATATAAGTTATGGCGATTATTGCTTTTCAATATCACTGATAAATAAAGACATGCACTCACTGATGAATAATGATACAACATTTAATATTAATTGAATAGAGTATTAATTTTAGAACGGTTAATGAGAGAATGATAATAAACACTCACTTTGTTGACTACTGTCTTCACTCTCTGGTTGCCGTGAATTATATTCATATTGTGTCTCATGTTCCACGTTTTCAGTATGTTCATACTCAGCATACATGTTTTCGTCTTCGCGAATATCCTCTGCAAGGTCGCTTGTGTTTGCCGTTATTGGATGCCGGTTCAAAACAGGATAGCTTGCTGATAAACTGTATTTATTGCTGCTAACAGGGTTCATACTAGAGACTCCTCCATGATCGTTATGATGTGATTCCTCTGACGTCATCGATGATGTTGGAGACGGAAGTCCGTTTGAACCATTTGGTGACAATCGAGAGCTACGTGGCGGAACTGCCAAGTAAGACATTCCCGAAAAATTCTATGTATGAATTTAAAAATATTAATAAAGCTCAATTCATTTGTTTATCATCGCAAAACAATGCTTGTTTGAGGTTTACATTTAGAATAAACATCGATTGAAGACGATGCGTGAATAAGATTTGACGTATTGAACGGGCTACCTTGACATTCTTAGAAAATAGGATGGTTACCGAAAATTCTTATATCTCGTTATATTATAAAACACTAGTATAGAAAGAAGAAAACTGCAGAGGACTTCTAACCTGGGTGTACGGGAAAAAATTTGAGGGTGGCGATGAACTTTCTGGACACAGTAAGCAACAAGTTGAACCTTCATATCTGTAAAGTAAAGATATATATAAATCATGATTCAAATGAAAATATTATTTACGCGGCCGAAAATCTCGAATTTTAAAAAATACTTCGAAGTTCAAGTATCGATAGTTATTTGCCCTAGGATTTGAGGCCAATAATAAGATCAAAAATAACAAAAGTCATGGTCTGGCCTAAATATGTATTTTGCACTTAGACCCAGTTGTTTCAATCACATTTAATTACTTTCAAAAAACAGTTCTTTCAGCATTAAATTTTTTGCATCTCATCATCGTGAGATCGACGACGTAAAATTAATTTAATTCACTCTACGTGAAGTGATTGGTAACACTAAAAATTTTGACATATTCTTCAAAAATTACTATATATTGAAAAAATCATAAAAGTATATATCATTTTAGCTAATGAATCCGTAATTATTATTTATTTGTGTGGCTGCTTGTTTGAAACATCTTGAAAGGAATCTAGTCTCGTTAAATTTGGTAAATTGCTTATGATGACCTAACAAAAAGCACCATCATATTATTATTAATTGTATACTGTGAATAATTGAGAAATAGGATTGTAATTCTGCGCGCTTGATTCACAGTGAGTAGATCTCACAGTTTAAAGAATTCATGTTCAGATGGGCGATATCAGGGTCGGATTTAGGAAATTAAGCCTAAGCTATTCCATTTGTGAAGCATAAAATTATCATTTTCTTTCCTAAATTAAACAGTTCGACGATAAAAAAGATCCCTGAATAGTAAACATGTATATAATTCATAGATTCGTTGTTGTGTAGCTGAGTTTAGATATAGTTTAGGATTAAAATATATTGTTTTCTTATATTTTTCAATAAATAAAGGCAATATCAGAGTGAAAAGTGTTTAATTGATTTACATACAGGGTATCCTAATTTTTTGGGTTAAAATGGTAGGGTTTTTCAAATTTAGAAAAATTCATCTATTTGAGCCATTTTTTACTCTTTTTAAACTGGTGTATTGGAACAAGAATACTGGTAATTAACCCGATTAAAAAGAAAAAATAATCATGGTTTTATAAAATTTACCCCTTGTTGAATTCTGCATCTCGAAAAATCGGGATAAAAATGAATATATATTATTAGTTCAAAATTGAATCTCGAGTTCATTATGGGCTCGAGGCTCAGCCTACCTAGCTTATTGGTAAATCCAGCTCAGGGCGCTCTATACAACTACCCTACTAACCTGTTAAATGGCGGAGGGTAACGAATAGGAGGTACGCGTGGAACATCGGTGAAAACATCGTCAATAAACGGCCGTTCAGTGACAGACTGTCGGGAATGGCAATGGGGTGCAGAACCGATCGTTTTCTTGATATTCGGTATTCCTCCCGTTGCTTCGAGGATTTTTTCAAGTTCATAAATGTAGTCAATTGCCCCCTGTAATGTGTCAACTTTGCTTGGTTTACGGTTTGATGGGACCTAGAACAAAAAGAATTTTTGAATTATAATCGGCAGCAATACGGACATTTGATTTTACGAGAAAATATTCTGTAGTGGGCCAATCACGCACGGTTCTCTGACTTGGACAACGATCCTTGGTTGGAGATAAGCATTGCCGTAAGGCGTAAGCTGTCCGACAAAATGGAATTTATAATATTAGAATGATATGTAGTTCTTAGAGTTCGGCTCTTATTGGTTTTCATCGATCCAGCGTTAGTTTTTTTTTATGTGATTCATTATTTTTCAATTTACAATTATGCATTTGGGTACATTTCAAAAAGTATCTCAACTTACTGTCGGCAATATTCGACGTAATTTTGCAAATCCTGAATTTAAATTTCGAACTCGAAGCCTCTCTCTAGCGTTGGCCTCCCTTCGCTTCGACACAAGTTCAAAACCAGAATGACACATTAATCGACTCTCATCAGCCAGACTTATCCAACTTGAATCGACGGAATCCTCAATTTCCTCTAAATTGATTTGTAAAAACATTCCATAATAATTTTTCACTCTTTGGTGAATGGGAAACAGGTAAAAATGAGTCAGAATATAATTTGAAATTAGTGATCCAACTGTTCGAATAAAAGTATTTCAAGTACAAACCAAAATTGGCATCATCTTTTGTTTCACCAATTATATACACGGTTAGAATGGACATCGCCGTTCGAATCAATATCGTGAGGGTTGGTTTTTCGCGCGAGGTTTGGGCATTAACTTGAAATTGGTAAACGTTTTTCATTATTTTTAGTACTTATAATGTTAGATCACGCCATCTTGATCTTATTCCAACAACGGAGAAAATATTTAGTATCAAACTTGTAATCTAGTATTCAGACTAAGATAAATAGAAAGTGATCCACTTGCATCTTTGAGTAGAAGAACAACGATAACTCTGATAGACCTTCTAATAAATAAAAATTAGCTACCACGCTCACCATCTGTAACATCATGCAACGACCGACGTAATCTTGCCTGTCTACGGCGTCTCACAAGAGCTAAAGATGAAGGCGGATTCTCCATTTGTTTATCAAAATGTAGAGCGTAAATTCCTAACGGGAAAGAAATAACACACTAAAAACACTGTACTGAGTTTGAATGAGAAATTTCTGATACACATACTCTAAACAACTTGAATCATAAAGTTATCATCAAACTTAACAATTACATATAAAATATGAAGATGTAAATAAAACAAAATGATAGTAACACACACGAACTAACTAAAAAAATATTCTTCCTCCTTTCCATTCACAAAATTAAATACAAACAGAAGCATGAATATCATTGCACCAGTACACCAGTGTCATTGAAATGATTTCTACTGATTTACCTAAAAGTTGTTCCCAGGTAGCAAGCCAGAAAAAGGGATTTTTATTCTAAATAATACCCCTTTTTCATCGGCATACGGTCACGTAAAATAGCAAATTTGTAAATTAAGCAGATCTCTCATTTGTAATGTTACCCTTGTTGCGTTTTATCATTGACGAAATCCTACCCACTCCCATGTCTGACCGAGTATGAGTCAGTTAGGATAATGTTGTCTTATCTTTGGCCCATGCTGGATCAGTAATTGACCATTGTACTCCAAAAAAGGTATCTCTTGATAGAAAATAATAATATAACTATTTCACAAATTTGTTGTGAGCTAATAAAACATGTCTTTACATATTTCGCAGAACGAATGTCAGGGGCTCATGTTACCCACTTAACGCCCCCTCAGTTTGGGTCGTAACCATGCGAGAATAAAGTTATGACGATATATATAAAATCGTAGTTGAGACTATAATATAAACATGGCCAAGTCTTATATTCAACTTCTAGTTTTGCTAATGATCAGTGCACTAAATATTTCAATTGACTTCGTCTCATTTTTCTTTATTTTTTTCTTTATTGAGTTAATATAAATATTTTCATTTTCACAATGTGTCTAGAATACGTAATATAATATTTGTTGCATTGATGAAAATAATCCAACAAATTCATACTGTTAATAAGTTTCACGACACAAGGTGAATAAAAATGCATCAAACACAAAATCCTACCTTTCAAATTTAGGTTTTTAAAATAGACAAATGATTTAACCATCTTTGCATGTTAGTATTAGATTTGTAGAGGATGTTTAACTCTGGGAATAAATCCCCATATTGATGACGCCGTGATTTGGTAACCGAAAAAATATTTCCATAAATAGGAAAATTTGGCACATCAAATTCGGTTGGATGTGATGATAAGTTAATTATTTCATAATTTCATAACCTCAAAATTAAATAAGTTTTACTTGCTTTGCAGAGCATATCACCCCAACATGTAATTATATAAATGTACCAGGTTTTCTATAATTATGCACTGAATATTTCTCCATTCATTACATTATTGTTAATATCAAGGTTATAACCTTTTTGATATATAAGCTTACAAAATAGTAATTACTATTTAAAAGCTAATTTATATGAATTTATAATAATTTAATATTCTCGGAAACAAATTGGTATTTAACGTCATGGGATTACCAATTATTTTTGCTTGAATACTTTGCTTTACGTTTCGTTAATTTCATTGCAGATTAAGGATGATTTTCTACTCTGGAAGTTAATTCACAAAATTTAATAATTTTTCACAATCACGTAGTTAAGTGAATTATACAAATGTATGATTCATTTTCACACGAATAGCAGCAGACTCATTAAATATTATTATTAATAAAAATTCATAATAACTAATTTTGTTTATTCCAGAATTTTTTTTGACTAAAAATAACTACAGATTATACCTTTATATGCTTTCAAATACAAACCGAATATATAATATATCTGCACTGGTCTAATTAATATCGCTTAATTAAATATTCGATAGTCATCTGATCATTTATTAAACATAACTGTAGCAGTAATGCCTCGGTATCATTTACACGAGAATATGCTAATATATTGACCTGGAAATAAAGTTAGAACTTGTCACAAAATCGTTATGAATCAGAAATAGAGGTATATTATCAGGATTTGAATAATAAAATACATTTATGATATTTAACATTCGCAAGGCTATTTGAATAAGCATCTTATGTAATCCCGGTCTGGGTTTTTGATACTGTCTTGGAAATGAGAAAACAAATAGTTTTTTTGAACCCCTCCCAAATCTTGCTGGATAAGACGAAGGTGATGAGATTAATTTTTATTTTTAATTTTGCAGGTTGCTTGCCTGTTCATGAAAGATTTTAGGTTTTGGTCGAGTTCGGGTTTGTTGCCTATTCGCTTGAGCAGCTTATAACAACTTGCAATCGTTGCACAATATTAATATTAAATGATTTTTAGGATGAAAAGATCTGATATTGCATTAGAGGTACAGGATCCACATTATGAATGTTTACTATGTTGCCAGGATTGTCTTGCAAATGGATATGAAGTTGTAAAAATAGATACTTGTATCGGAAATTAAAATAGATTTAAATTTTCAAACACTTAAAACTAATCATTTCCTGCATAATTGTTGTAAAATGCCCCGAAGTCATAATGAAAAGTTAATTGAGAATTCAAAAATAACGTTTAATCATTTATAGAAAAAACATCGGAAATACAAAACATTGTAGAAATATACACTGTAAAAGCGTTTCAACATTACTAGAATTTTTCAGTAATTCAATATTCCAACCATGGTACAAGAGAAAAATCAAATAATTGTTTTGTTGCGCAAGTAACAACAATTGTGCACACACGTACGGTGTATCTCATGGTTGATCAAGAAAAAAATAAATGCTGTACCCATTCATATGTAAATTAAATCACTATTAAACCAACTAATTTTCAGTTTTTAATGAGAGATTTCCTACATTTATGATACTTTCCTAATTGTGCTTCGCAGAAATCGAGCTACCGTAAACTAGAGACAGGCGCCACCAAAAGATAATTTGATTTTAATTATGAGATAAAGTGAAGAAAAAATTTGAATAAAACAAGATAAAATTCAGTTGCAGTTTTAGTGATGCTGGGGGTGTGCGAGGAAATTTCCAAGATGCAGTATAGCGGAAAATTGTACAAGTACAGAAGAATAAAGCTTTGCATCGTATAGGTAATAAGATTACAGGTTTAATGTCGAGAAAGGTGAAATACAATTTCAATTATTTACGACAAATGTTTAAGGTAAATTTTTTAAATGAAGTTGAAGCATTTTGGTTTATGTCATTACTGATTTTCTTCCTATTGAGTAAACTCATCAGTTGTGTGTTATAAATGATGAACGTTTTTGTTTATATGCAAAGTTGTAATTAGTAAGAAATTTCAGATTCAACGGCATGTTGTATTTACAAAGTTCTTGCAGCAATTTAAATTGTTATTGAAAACATACCGGACTGAAACAGTTTCCAAAGGAAGGCTATTTGTGTTTCATTCAATTCCACCATACTGCTATGCAAACCATTCTTGTTTCTATTTTCGCACGATAAACTTAGTGAGCCACAACATTGCTTAATAGTAAGTCTGTAGCACTTCTCTTCATAAATAGATCAGCCTGCATATGATACATAGCATAGAACTGAGAGTTTATTTTAATGCTATCAAATATATCATGAACATATTGATCCTAATATAAGGCGCTGTGAATTTAAACAAGTAGACGCGTTATACTGGACAGAATATTTGACAACAAAAATGTTTCAGTTGATGCATTCACAAGATAACAATGGTAAAAGATTCAGCTTGGTTTTAATTAGGCATACTGAGTTTCGAATTAAAATAAAACGCTATAAAATTTATGTAGCGGTAAGTTTCAATTTCTGTACTACGAAGAAGTCGGTGATAATTACATCGATCTGAATTCATGACTGAGTTTTAGTACAGCGAAATAAAGTGTTAAATTTAATCATTGATGCAACATCAATTCCAACTTAAGAAAGAACAGAATTTCGTTATACTTATATTTAAATTTCCAAATTCATTTTTTTGCTTAGAAGGTAAGCAACTAAATTTCGACAGAAGGATGCTAATTTCCGATTATCTTTATTCAAAAAAATATATCCTAAGTAAATTGATTAATATTCATTTTCCAAGACCCAAAATGACGATCATGATTACCGTAATTTTTATTTTACGCAGTAATGCATTTTGGTGCTTTCACCATGATTTGCTATATATTAATTGTTCGTGGTCGTGAATGTACAAGTTTAATAGCTGGTTAGCTCAAATTTAATCATCATATAGCCGTAATTATTGTAATTAGATCGTCTCAAAATAAAATAGGTTTTACATCAAACGAGAGGAAGTCAGGGGTCGAAAGTTCTTTTTTGAAAGAAGGATATTAAGCATAATTCGTCTATTTTTTTTGCGGTTTATTATAAAGATCCATTAACCGACATGCGAATATAAAAATAAATTGACTTATAAAACCTTTTTTTTTAACTTGAAAAGCATCTTTTTATGTAGTTTCCCTGCAATTACAAGTTATATTCTGTTTACAACAAATGTCAATAGATTTTCGAAACACTTGGGGTAATTATTATCTATAAACTAATTATGGGATTTATCGCGGTGTGAAGCTAATTGCTGTTTGAATCTTTTCCGTTTACGGTAAGAGCCTTTGAAAATGTGATTAAAATAGAGCTGTATGCACCATGTACGGGTAATTACAGTGAACTGTCAAAATTGTCTGCAACACAATTATCCAGAATAGCGCAATCTAACACTCATTAAGCTTTTATTCGGAGCACATGTTTTGTTAATAGTGGAATTGGTGAATTAATAAAAGACTGTGTGTTCCGACACGTACCAAATTTTAGAAATTCCATGAATGTGTTGTGTGGTTTTGAACTTGGAAAACAATGCAAAACTATTTCGTAAGGTTTCCTCTAATTTTATGCCAATCTTAAATTAATGTCTGTTTCGAAAGTCAAAACATGTTATTTTGCCATCCAGATTTAAGACTTAAACATAGATTTGCTTGAAACGTGCTACCGGGTACTTGTGTTTTGATGAGATAATACCACAGTACGGAATAAAGGTGTAAAACTTCGGCTTAAAATGGATCGGAAAAACTATTTCTGATTGGAGATAAACCTACTTCCGTATATAGATTTTTGTTACGCTACTTGTGCTACCATAGAAAAAATTTGTTTCGACATACATTTAGGGTGGAGAGAATAATGGCACGCGAATGGCATTGGGGGTCATGCCCGGATACTGGAATTTTATTCTGGTGTGATTACTTGAATAATCTTGTCGGTATTGCTACGCGTTTGGAATGCGCTTGCCACGGCACCTCTAATACTACCCTGCGTAGGTTCGCAGGTTCGAATCCCGTGGGATATAATATGTGAAAGGGGATTGTTGCCGTAGGGTGGTTCACGTCACCAATGTCCGTTTCCCCATTAGTTTCATGCAACTGAAACAACTGGCTGACTAATCTCATACCAGACGTGGACTAGTAACCGGAAGAGAAGATGTGGTTCGCCATATTGTTATGCCATCTTATCGGCTTGCGTCCCCTGGGATAAATATGCAAATCCTATCCCATTCTACTTTTATTACCAAATTGAGTTAATATACTAGTGACAGGTCGAGTAATATTAATCTAAGTGTTGTGGTATATCTAGGTTAAGTTAATGACGATAGAATCTGCTGTAGTTTACTACGATAATAGACTCGTACTAAAATTAGAAATTTTGTATTCGTAATACTGATTATAAAACATTGACGATTGACGATTTAATTGACGATTTATAATTTCATTGTGTTCAGCGAGAACTATATAATAATTTGTCCTTGTATTCGTTAATTCAGGTTTATTTAAAAAAAAAGAAAATGAATCAAAAACTTGTGCTAGCTGTATTTACAATATTTTTTAAAATTGCTTTGGGAGAACACAATCCTAAAATTGTTACTGCAGGGAATTTGGAGGAATCAAGAGTTGCACTGACAACTGAAACTCAAAACGAAACAATTGATGCAACTTTTCATCAAACCAACAATCCATTCGGCATTACATGTAAATATGATTTGAACCTTGATTGGATTCTGAAAAATGATACTTTGAGAACAATATGTTGTGATGAAGTATATGATATATTCAGAATATATTGGAATCATTCTACAATTAAGCTGGCTGATCTTCTGCGTGCTCTTAAAACTTGGCAGTGTCCAAAATTCGAGGAAGAGTGCACAATGAGATATTTCGGTTTCAGCAAGTTCACGAATCTAGTGTATGACCGATTTTGTGATCCAAATAAGTTTGTATCTGAATGCAAAGAAGACATAAAAATACTCATAAAACAAGATTCGGCTTTATATTCGAATTTAATAAATGAATCGGAGGGATCAGGAATGACTCCGCACAATAACCAGAATGACCTCACCAATTACACAACCTTTGGGACACCATCGGTATACGATAATGCATGGATAAACCTTGTTCACTCTGATCATCTTGCTGACAATTTACGTATGGTTGACCAGATGAAACCTTGTGTACAAGCAGCCCTTGTCAACGTTCAAGAGATCTCAGCTGGAAAATACTATGAAATAAAACAAAGCGAATTAGCGTTTTGCGATATTTCTTGGTGTGCTTTCAGGGCCGATACTTTTGAAACGGAAACAATCACGGATTCACTTTGCATGCCTTCGAAGTAAGTTTTAATTTTTTTCCGTTCATCGACAAGAAAATGGCTACAATAACACCCCCCTTAATTCCGCTTTTTATAATTATGTTTCAGTTTTTAAAGCTTGTGTGCCCGAGTTTAATAACCTATTAGTAAGTCACAATTTCATCGAAGTAGAAGCTTCAACTACATTTACCCTATTATTTTGTCCAATCACAGCACACAGTACAATTTTGGGGGCACGCTAGCAAATCTTGAATTGTCCAAAAGATACTGTGTCTGTGGTCAATACTGCTTATTACGACTTTGGGAGCATATAAACTTGGTCATCCAATGGACTAACATTGCTTGAACCTTAAATCATTAACTAAACAGCATTCGTACACCGAATGTGCAAGAGAGCGTGTGACTTTGACAATATATGGAGTTTTAGTTGAAGATTTTAGACTCAATAAGTAATATAATTATGTAAGGTCGATAGACCATGACAGACATTATATCATTCTTTTATAAATTAATACTCTATATTGGGGTTCCACTTTTGAATAAATTTTCCCGGTTGATGTCGCAGATACTTCTGGATATTATAATTAAACAAACACTTTTATTCACAGATGTGCAATCAACATGTATATTATGATGGTAGCGGGTGGACTTCTTGGATTTATTATCGTTCTCGCCAACGGCACTGTTTTGCTGGTCTTTGGTATGAATCGACGCTTGATGAATAGCCAAGGGATATACAAAATGTCTTTGGCAGCAGCCGATTTACTATGTGGATTATTCGTGTTTCCAGTAATTATTTGCACCATGCGTAGAGGTTTTTTATCACAATATGAAGTCATCGAGTCCGAAGTTGTTGAGTACAGTTACGGGAGCGGAAGAAACGGAACTCGGTTAACCATCGATAATTACAATCAAAAGTTCTTCAAGTTTGGTGGAGTTTTCACTGCACTCTCTCTATTCGTCTCGATGTACACTCTTGTAATCGCCAGCTTTGATAGATTCCTCGTTGTGCACCGCCCTCTTGAATACAATCAGTTTAGGGCTAGATCAATTGCAAAGAAATGCGTCGCAGTTTTATGGGTAATCGGAGTCATTTATTCTATTTTGCCTCTATTTGTCGACGATCTTTATTACATGAGAGTTGCATCTATACTTGTTTCATTAGGAGGGGGAGAGGTAGCATTGGTTTTGTACATCATAACATTTGCAATCCCTCTCTTTCTCGTATGGTCATTGAATATCGCAACCTTCACCTATTCAAGAAGAAATGCACAGGTTCGACCAAAAATTAGGTTTTCTGAGACGACTGTACTATCAGTGAATTTGGAGGCACAGCTGGCTAAAACTTTATCCATTATGGTTGGCGTATTTTCGTTATGCATCGTTCCAGTTGCGACCGTGTTGGTGTCAGAGTTATTTATCACCGGAATTCATTATGACGTACCTACAGAATTTCACATGCCAACGGCTGTACTTGTGTTGTCATTAGAAGCTATGTCAGCGTTCATCTTAATGTCGAATAGTCTGTGGAACTTTTTTATTTACAACGTGCGAAGTATGGAGTTCAGAGCATGCTTTCTGTCACTCAGTGGTTCAATGAAAAGTGCTTGCTGTAGAGCACTAGTATCAAGACACGAGCGCGGTTCGGCATACTCTCATAATGTGAGCTCGACAAATATGAACGGCAATAATACCAAAAAGAATTTAACCATGTCGACAAGGGTACGAACTTTGCAACATTCCGGACACCATGCTTCATAGTAATTATGCTTTTTAAAATATGTAATCAAAAAAACTAAAGTAATTCAACGAATGAAAAACGTATTGAAGTGATCGATTCTGCCTCAATTATGTGCACCAGAAATTGATTTCATCAAATGTAGATATTCTGTTCGGTGATTCGAAGTATCTCTTGGTATGTAGGTCTGGAGACTGAAGCGAATTCATTCAACTTTATGGATCCTAGAAAACTACATCATTGAAACAAAAATACAAACATTGTATTCGAAAATAAATGAACTTGTACAAAATAATATATTTGGCAATTCTACGTTGATGTATCCTAGTTGAGAATTTGAATCTCCCCTGAAAGTCCCAAGTGTACATTTGGATCGTTTTGCGGGTTACTTTTCTAGTTGTCCGCCGATAATTTTAACAACTCAATGCTATTAGGCCTTACGGTATCGATTAGAGCATTACTCAGTTGCTTAATTAATAATTTACTCCATGACGTAACTTTTATCTACCTTATTTAAGTTTTTTGGGCATCATGTAATATTATAGAAAAAGCCTTTGAAATACGTAAAGCAATCAAAATTCACATCTAAATTACAAATGTACACGAACAATATATAAAGTATGTTTGTTTCCAGCATTCGACCGGACTCGCTAGCTGTTTCGATCTAACTTGGCAAATAGAAATTTCATACCCCCAAACTAATATTAAATTTTAAAATCTATAACAGCAGTAGCGCATATCCAGATACTCGTCAGACCTTCTTGTATCTAAAGAGTGAAATGGTTGGAAGGCATTGGATGTACCGTGTTTCTTTGAAAATAAGACCTATCCTGAATTTTAAAAATGATTTTAAGCCATCCCCTTAAAATAAGACCTGGTCGATAACGCAATTTTTTTTTATTTAGTTGACAGCAAGAAATCTCTCCTACACGTTTTGTACTGATTGATAATCTATGTTTTGCATTGGTTTTGAATAAAAACATGTTATTTAATAAATGAATATCGATTTTCATATTTTGTATATTCGAAAATCTCGCAATTCTCTACTTTGGTATTTTGTTTTTGATAAATAAAAATATAAGACATCCCCCGAAAATGGTATTTTTCGGAAAAAAAAATTGAAATAAGACCCAGTCTTATTATCGGGGAAACATGGTATGTACGCGGATCGTTAGTATATATAAATTATAGGAGTCGCCAAATGCAACTTAAAATATTCGAAACGAATTAAATTGTTGTTGTAGAATGTAAAAACTGGTATACACCCTTACTTCGTTCAGTGTGAGTCGAGCCTTTATTATAAGAACGATATGCTTTTCGACGCAGGCCTATATAAACCGCAACCTTCCCGCAAGTTCTGTAGTTTGATTGAAGAAGAGCAGTTCCGTTTTTGTCACATCTGTAGCATAGTTGTGGGTTTCAGTCATTGCTTCAAAAATGCCCAGAGCCGAATATTTATACACTTGATTACATATATGGCGATAGATATTTTGCGTACTTTTGCGGCGCTCATGAACCAGGTTCCGGATTCAAACGATGCGAGGCCCTAGGACAGGAATGTTCAACTTTTCCCAATTAATGACGACTGTGAGTCATAATATATTTTCAATCATAGTCTGCATCAATAAGAAATTTGCCTCTGTATCTCCTTCCCAAGTATATACTATAATCCTTGTTTGACAGAACCAGATATACCTTTAGGCGAGGTACACTGAAGCCTAAAGACATCGATATACTATTTTAAACCATTATACATTTTTATGTCATTTTTACAATGTAAAAACTTGTTCCAGAATGAAAACGGTTTAAAACTGACATTTCTTAATCAGGACCAGGTTAACAATTTTTGCTTCGAATGTTTATGTTTGAAAGGTTGAAAAATTAAATACGATCGAAGAAATAAATTTGTCTGAATATGGAAAAATACTACTTCTTTACCCCTAATAGATGTTAGTTTAAATGAATTGAACAGTTTTTCCTGTAATATTGCTTTTATAAAAGAAAAAAACGTAACAAAATAATCAATATTTAACAATACTAGGTATCTAAGCAACGACGAATCTAAGAAGTATTATACTTTTTTACTATTTCAAATATTTTTTTTTCTCGTATACCCGTTTATTACAAAAAATCATATGAGAATAATGTTAAATATATCAGAAATTGGGCCACCTGTCGCAACAAGAAACAGGTATTAATTATTTCGTTGGGTTTTATGGTGACCTGACATTTTATTAAAGCCTTAAGAGTCCGTGTGAATCTATTATGACGTCATAATAGTAGTTCAAGGTGTAATCGTGAAATGTATTCAGACGTCATAAACAAAAATTGCTTGAAATACTGAAGTTTAGTTACAGGCAAGAGACGTACACTAAGCACTCAGTTAGATTGAATATTGAGTTGATTTTAAAAATACCTCAAAAGACTCAAGGCTGTAATAAAACGCCATGGCACCAGAAAACCGATGTCATAATATCCATTTATATTCTACGATAAAAAAGGTCCAAAAAACATAAAGAAAAACATAATAATTATTAGATTCGTGGTTACTTATTAGAATACTTGGTATAGATAACCGTGTTCTCCCCAAAATAAGATTGGGTCTTATTTAAATTTTTTTCGTAATGTTAACACTTGGGTTTATTTTAAGGGGATGTCTTATTATGGTACTCCTGAAGTATGCGCACCAAGATGTCGCATAACCTGAACCCTAACCTGGTACAAAACCTTAGTTCAGGTTGTGCGCCATCTTGGTGCGCATACTTCAGGATGTCCCTTATTTTTACATTTATTAAAAAAACATTTACCTATAAATAACACGTTTTTATTCAAAAGAAATGCAAAACATATGTTATCAATCATTTAAAACGTGTAGTTGAAATTTCTTCTTATCGACTAGGTCTTATTTTGAGGGGAGGTCTTATATTAAAATCATTTTTAAAATTCAGGCTAGGTCTTATTTTCGGGGAAACACGGTATGAGCTATATCAATATTATCTTATATTTATCAAAAAATGCATTATTAGGCTAGAAACCATTCATTTAAAATTTCATTCATTAAAAAAAAAAAAAAAAAAAAAATTTTTTTAAGCCTATTTTGTTTTCAATAATAATGAAGTAGATCATCTCAAATTCATTTATTCGACTAAATTTATTTTTTCAACGTTTTGAACTATAATTGTTTGGGACAAGAATTACCCACAAATATTTGTGTGTTTAAACAAAAACCAATTCATATATATAGGCACCGAAAATTATAGTCTGAAAGTATAATCTGGGTTTTAGCCGCCACCATAATTGAAATGGATAAATGAAATTGTATTTTAACGTCACAATACCAATTTTCCCGAGTTGACAACAGCTCGAGGTGTAGGGACTATTTATCTTGACCAAATTAGTGTAGTCCTGAACTGCTTTTATATTTTTGGAGGTAGATGTCGCACAATGATTGTTTCCCCGAGCATTGATTGATCGGTTTATTTCTGCAACAATAACCATTCATCAATGAGTTATTGATGAAGTAACAATTGCAATTCGTGCAGCAGCTCGGCACTTCTTACTCTCAGACAAACATACAAGCATGTTCGGGGTTTTGGGTGTTGTTTGTCAGTTTTTTGTTGTGTTTTTGAGAATTATTCGTAAATCAAAGAAAATGATTGTCATTTTGTCTTTTGAGGTAATGAAGTTTATTGGCAGTATTCAAAAATTAGTCTCGGAAAAGCTGCGGTAGACTAGGATAAAATTAGCTATCAGTACCTGTAAGGGGCATGAGATTAGATGCATTTATAAAAATGATGGTTTTGAACAGGTGAATCATTCCTAAAAGCCAATTCTCCAAAACGCTCTCAAAATAAGCATCAAAAATTTTGCAGTAGTAAAATCATAATGGCTTTGGTAAAATATATGGAGAATTTTTCTGGGGTCAAGGGTCGGGGGTGATCGGTATTGTGACTCGGGCCAGCAAGATCTTGTACATGTGTAATGTGCATGTTTCTAAATGAGAATCAATTTTTTGTATTGGTGAGGCAAGGAACAGCTATGGGTAAAGTGTTAAAAAAAATTCTGGGGTCAAGGGTCGAGGAAAAGAAAGTAGGTACTTTTTTAGGTCAAAGGTGGGAAAAAATCATCACAACATTGGGCGATTTTCGACATCCAAAGTCCAGACATGAGTTCATCTCTGATAAATCTACTTTTGGTTGGAGCTTCTCGTACCGTCCGATTGTTTTCTTCACAAAGCCGATCGCTATGGGTAGGTTATGATATAACACATTTTCATTTTTATATCCGTATTCTACTGGTACTATTTTCCTTTTTTAGTAAATTCTGATTTACAGATTCTGCGTTACAGTATTATGCACGCACTTCTGCACTTCATAGTCTGATAGTATAGTCATGTGTTTTAAATATCAAATATGGTCCATTTACAGTGCAGCAGTTGTCTAAATAAAATGTTTTATTTGCTTCCTTTTCAAAAATAAATGATTACCCGTTATTCCAAAGCCTAGATGTATGAAGTTCTTAGAATGGGGAATAAGACCATTCCCAAAATGAAAATTTGTTTTAAAAGACTCCAGATCTGGCAGTCGGGAGGCGAACTATACCAAATGACTAATTGCTCATTTCGTTACAGACTTGCAATGCCCAGAGAATGGATGAAGTGCAGAGGGCAAAAGATGCTGCTGCAAACCAAGCAGCTACTGCTACTATTTTCAGCAAAATAATTGATAAATCCATTCCTGCCAATATAATTATGGAAGATGACAAGGTGATGAACGCTGTGCTCAAATGCCAATCATAACTGAAATTATAGTAATCCTATTTGATGTTTTTAGTGTATCGCATTTCATGATGTTTCTCCACAAGCTCCAGTTCATGCTCTTGTCATTCCAAAGAAACCCATTCCTAGACTAAGCGAAGCAACTGTTGATGACACACTTTTGTTAGGTAAGATATCTTTCTTAGGTTACAATTTTTAAAAATAGTCCAGTGCTATTTTATCTCTTCTAATTTCAGGTCACCTGATGAACACTGCAAGACTAGTGGCCAATGAACTCAAGTTAAAAGAAGGATTCCGCATTGTCATAAATGATGGCATTCATGGTTCACAGTCAATTTATCATTTGCATATTCATGTGTTAGGTGGGAGACAAATGGGATGGCCACCAGGATGATCTCCAATTCAATTTTTTTGACTTTTCCAATTGATATTATGATCCGACTGGCACTGTTTTTCAACTTCCTACAATGATGAGCATACAACTTTACAGACAGAATAAAACATCTGATATGCGAAGCGATAGATAGAAACACTATTACAGCAGTCTTGTTCGGAAACAGGGTGGTCTTAATGTATGCTGAAATTCTCGTAATTTCAATGCGCATTAAGATCTAAACTTTTCTGCTTCTTGTACCTCAGAATAAAAATTCAAAACTGATCTATCTATCCCTGGTGGACTTCGAATTTAGGAGGATTCTGTGTTTAAACTTACCTTTCGGCAGTTAAGGCAGGCATTCTAACACCATTTGTTTAAATGATGGAAGACCCCGAATTCTGGCTGTTTAAGCAAATGGGCAGCTCTGCAATTGGCTATTCATCCTGCCATCCCCCATTGGCCAGTTTTTTCCAGCGGGTAGGCTACCTACGAGGTTTTGGTAGGGGCTGAGCATAAAATGCTTTCCTGTTCACAGAACGAATTAATTTTGTAAGTAAAGTTTCTACTGTATTATTGTTCCAACCCCTGGACTCTTTCTAAGCCGAGGAACAACCCACAAACTTTTTTCAAATCATAGAATACATGGCTCTACCGTATTTTAATTAGTATAAAGATTTCGATCAATCGCAATAAAAATTGGCTATATTGAATCGAACACAAAATTTATTAAAGGTTACCAACAGAAATAGTAATTATTCACTTGAACTGACATTAAAGACAATATTGTAACCGGAAAAAGCTGGAATAGTAGAGATAAATAACTTGAAACTACTAATTTAGGAGATAATGGGGGCTGAAATATTAGCAGACAAAAAACATCTATCTACCATAACAATCCTACCATTTGATACATTTTTAACAAGAATATAATAATATCCAGTCAAAAAATTCTTTATAAAAACAGTATCTATCGAGTTGCATAAGATTGGCAGTTAAATAAATGAAACAGCTTGAGATTAAGTTTTGAGTTACATGCAAGCCATCATACTATTGTAAATGCTACAATTCCACTCAATTCTAAATACGGTAATTCAAATAGACTTCAGGGGGGGAGATTTTAGGCAAACTTATTTCTATATCAATATATTTATTCCTCGCATGATAAGTGGAATTGGTTAAGGTTTGAAACTTCCTAATGCTTTAAATAATGTGACTAATATAATATAAATAGATACATTCAGAAAAATTAGTTGTTGAAACACACACATTGATTGATAAAGAAAATAGAATCTGTATTGCAGTCAATAGAGAGATTATCTATATCTCTATGAAGTATTGAAACTAAATTTTCTATGAAAAAGGTGAATGTTGATTCATTTAAAACAAAGCTCATGGTTCGCATTTTCATATAGCTTTCTGGGTAACAACTCAACGTGTTGTGTTATAAAAATTATGCAGTTGACTTATTGGAGATGATATTGAACTAAGCATGATGTTTTATGCATTTATGTAATTTTACACTGTTACACAAAGTTTAGGATGTTGGCGCTTTCCACATTGCTTGTGGACAATTATTTGTACCAGGAGAGGTTTTCGATTGATTATACCCTGATAAAAAAAATTCCTAGTATTATATAAACACAATAACCACTGAAGCTTTGATTGCATTAGATATGCTGTGATCAATCTTGCACCCATAATCAATGTGCAAACTTCAGGGTAAATATTGTAATATCACTGAGATGATTAAACGACCATCTCAAAGATACAAATAAACAAAAAAGAATCAAAAGTTCAAACGAAAAAAAAGCCTTAATTTAAACAAGTGCTCCATAAAGTAGGGCGGAATCAATAAAATGACAAGAATTTTATTTACAGTGGCTGACCCAGAAAACAATGCTCTCTCTATGATCAGATCACTGAAAATGCTTGACATAATTGTTACTGGTGGGAAGCTGATAAAATAGCTCCTCTACATGTAGAACTACAACCTTTTCTGCCATCCATAAGTCAAAGTGGTAGGATGCTTGCATGGAGTGAACAATGTCTGATTAATAAGCACAATTGTGCAGGACCAGGAACTTTTGATCATAATGAAGAAGAATTTCTGAGCAGCAGGAATGCCCAATGGACTAAATATTATAGAGGTTTAAATATATTTGATAATTACAATGAAGGACTTTATGTGCAAAAAAACTAATACAAGCCAGGCATATGCTGAACTTTCACATATCATACATTGAATTTTCTCCAGTACTTATTTTAACAGTGTTATTTCGCCTACTTCGATGTTTCATTAAAAAGTTTCAAAGTTCAAGCAGGCTAATACAGTAAATAATCAAGCAGGCTAATACACAAACCCACAATTATAAATAATGATTGGACTCGAAAACTGATACTAATAAGGTAATTTCAAAGGGGGATTTATTGTGTCTCTGTCGCTTAATCGTGCTGACATTCCTACTGCTCGGTCCTAGTATGTGAATCATTCTATGCCATTATAAGAAGTTTGTGCTGCATTGGTTGTTAACGGAGCTTTTTCATTTGATGATTGGAAGCCTTCGGTGCCCATAGGCAAAGGAATTGCAGTAGAATTATCAGCTGATTCCTGTGTAGCACCACCGGGCTGCATTGTGACTGGAGGGTCATTTTCAGAATCTGAAAAAAGTGGATGGTGTATGCATAATATACCATAAGGATTACATCATTTGCAAGAGCATATAAACAGTAGATATAATAAAAATTAAATGGAGTGAATATTCAATTCAAAAGTGATATAGTTAATGATTTACCAATACCATTCGATCAATTAAATTTGATGGTATGATGTTATCACTGCATTTGGCCAGTGGAAGTATTCGCATCTTCATTGGTACTATCGTATATACTTTTGATTACCTCATACAATTCCCCCGACTAGCAAAGTTGCTTCAAGTATCAGACACTTTATCACATATTTTTGAACAATTGATTTTGAAAATCATACTTTTGTACAGGTGATAAATTTTAAGAGAAATAGTCTATTAAATGTCACTCAAGGCAACAATGTTGATTGTCAAAAATCAAGAGTTAATAAACTGTGAAATAAAAGTGATTGGGAGTCTGAGGGATATATAAGGAGTGATTTACAGGCATCAATGTGTGTCCAAACCAAAAAGCTACAAAAATTATCCACAATATTTAAATGTGTCTGAACGTGCAAGTGTGTTTCCATTTGGTAATGCCAAAGGGTAGAGGGATTATGACACACTGATATGTACTATGCCATTGAGGGCTGCCTGCAATAAATTATTCATACATTCTATCTAGATTTACCACCACACCTGATTTCATAACAAACACACAAATAAGACGGCCTTATATATAAAAAACTTTAAATTTTGGAGAAAATTGTTCAAGTTGCATATTGCCGTCCAGTGGTCGATTTTTCATTTCCATGTTTGAATATACACAGTTGTATCGAAAAGTTCTTAGAGGTTCAACTGCAGGTGAAGCTACTTGAAGATGTGAAATAGTCTAGGCTATTTCTAGTTAACAGGAAATGTAGCTTTGGATATTATGAAGACAATATATCAATGAAATAATCTACATACTAATCATGTGAAACAAACAATATAACTTAAGTAAATATATCTGCGTTTGAGTAAATTGTGAAATAAATATGGTCCTATGTATAAATAACATCTAACAAAAACATCCTACTTTAAAAAACTGTAGGTACAGTGATCAATCAAAACAAGCTCTAAGCTTCATGTAGATTGGTATTTACATAGAGTCACAAGGCATATGCATCCAATTTCACATATGGAAATATTTTTGTCCAAATATATTATTACTGAGAAGTTGAGCATACTGCAGCAGCATGCGTAGCGGATGCCGGAATTGAATAATGACAACTCTGACAACACAGGAAATTATTAATCAAGGGATGCAAATTTATAAAGCGATGTACTTTCAGAATAAAAAGCTTTAACATTTTGTGAAACAGGAAAATACAGGAAATGAGATTGATTGAAATTATGCTGTACTGAATCCGAATGACAACCCAATCTTTACATTTATTTGAGTAATATACTTTAATTCCAAGAGATATTTCTTAGAAAACCTAGATCCAATATTGGAAAAATTGGCATCACAAAATAAGAGAACAATCTAATAAACAAGGATAGCCAGAAGCGAATATATTACTATTCCGAATTTTAAAATAATTTCTGAATATGAAATATCGAATGTATTCTAAATTAGGCCATGTTCACTGTGTTTGAATATGGAAATGAACAAAATTAAGAAGCAATAATATATTGGTTTTATCTATTATTTATGAATTGAATCAAAGTCTTGTTGGTCATACTGTGAAACTTTGAAGGTAGTGATTGTGAAAGAAAATGCTTCAATTGCTCAACACATAAGCCCTCAATGCCGTTATATGCTATTCAAATGAAATTGAGACATAGTGAACGCCCCAATACTAAACAATGAAGTCACGAGATTTTTTGTCATGGTGTTAACTGTGGAATTCACATTGTGAAGCGACCTCACTGGTTTATATTAGGCTACATAGAACACCGGTTATAGTATTTGTTTTAAGCATTTTTGTGGCCAGCAATTAAACTGTAGAAAATGAATATAAAACATCTGACATTCGAAGGACAATTTGACCAAATTTCAAAATTTAGTGCCAGTGTAGCATTAAGATGTATAAATATGTAAATCACCCTTTTTAAGATTATATTCTATACATTGAAAAGACATTCGCAAGGGCACACACATATTTGAACACATTGATATATAGTACCTCCATGTTAATGATTCATTTATTTACTTCACTGTGTACACAAACTAGTTGCTATAGAAGTAGTAATCTCATGTGGTAAGATTTGGAAATGTAAGGTAAAAGTGAACGTTCCTGTGGCTTTTACAGATAAAATCTGTAAGCCCAAACCTAACTCGGAATATATAATGATTTTGCCACAAAATAAATCGTTTTGGGATTCGTCAATTATATCCTTGACCTTTGAACCTTTGAATCACTTGCTTGTCATTAAAGCTAAGATATTTATAATTCAGTTTCCCCTTCAACAAATTGTGGAAATCCATATTCCACCATTTGGGTACAAAATTGAGAACACTATGTGACTATACATATATATGTATTATATGATAATACAAGTATAATACAGATAAAATTAGGAATCCCACTATCTCTTCGAGACTCCGATCATATGTACATGTACAAGACATAAATCTCCCTATTAAATTCTTTTCACAATTCTTACCTTCTTATGTATTTCATGTTGGCTTTGCAATCTTTATAATCACAAAATTCAATTAGTAACATTTAGCAATTTTCTTCTTCAATTTAGCAGTTTCAGATATTTTTGTTACTTCAAATTAGTAAATTATTTAAAAGGAAATTATATGACAAAAAAGGATTAATATCACACAAAACTCTATTTCGGCATTAATCATAATAGTATGCACGATTGTAATTTGAAGAGTGAAGTATTTATATTCAGGTTTTAATAAAAAAAGTATCTATATCATTTAAAAAAAAAATCTAGGATCCATTTCCTGTATGCTTTGACATATTTCAGGTATTGAATCGGATAGAAATGTTATGTCCTAAACTGCATTCCTTTTAGTTGCATTCTTTTAGTAATTTAGCTTATGATGTTAAAACAATACTAATTACACCCAAATGTGACGCTCAATTATAAAAATACAATTATTTTTAACAGCAAGCTGATATTGTCCATTTGCACACGATTGGTGTCTTATCATCTTTATTCAATAACACTATACCCTAGTATTTAGTCAGCCATGTTATTATGGTAATAAACACATTGGGACTTAGTGGTGTTCATATCGAATTTTTACTTTTCATTCTCAAGCATCCCTTTGTGGTGATAAAAATGATCAATGAATTATTACAACATGCACTAAAGATTCGAATAATAAAAAATGACTAAATGAATTATGATGAGAGTGAAATAGGAATTGATCATCAAACAAATCAAATCGAGCAGACACAAGATGCAACATGCGAAACAAACTAACATCATGCTCCAAACCTTACATAAAACAGAGAATTCTTGACAATAAAATGAACTACGTTCCGGTCTCAGGTGGGCCGAGAACAATGGGTTGACTCGTAACAGGTTCAGTTCCAGAACGATCCAAATTATCCGGATAAGAACGGCGCCCTGCATAGTGGAACAAGGCCAAAGACATGATTTAATGCCAATCATGAAAAACAATATATTTCTGAATTTTTAACATTATAAATAGAGCCTGATATTAGAAAGCCTTGTCAGTTTGAACCATATCAAACATTCAAATTATTCAAACTCTTAAACACTTATTTATATGGTGTATTACATTACTCCTGAAATAATACAACTAGATGATATGAAAAATCACAAAAAAAAATCACAAAACTGCAGAACATATGATATGTAAAAAGCAAGCAACCATGCAGCAAGAGTATACCAAAAAATGACTGAGTGGATTATTGTATATATATAAAAAAAACATAAAAACAAAAGAAAGCAATGGCATGGTACAAACCATGAAACTTTCAAATAGAAATTCCTAGGGAAATTCTACACATATCATGTCAAAGTTTGGCTTGTGGGTATTTATAACCAGGATATCAATCTCCACTTCCGAAATTGCTATCTATATAATTGAATTCCCTATATATATTAAATCAAAATTGATCTATAATACAGCTAAAGCACACTCTCCATTATTAATAATACCCATCTTAAAATGGAACATAGAAGTGAGCAGCTGCACAACACTAATATTGATGAACTTATTGATAGAAATATTCAATTTTGAACTCCTAAATCCCTATTATTGATTCAATTCAAATATTATAATTAGCTATAATTATACCAGTGACAAATTATCTTCTCAGCTGAAACTATAATATATGTGATAGCGAAACAGTAGATACATGCAAATCAAGCATGCATAAGCGAGTAGTAACTAGTGATCATTATCTACAACAAAGTGAACTTGAAAATCATTTTTCTGTAGTTAGAATCTGCTTATTTTTACGATTCAGTACCTAAGTGTCATACATATGTGCATTGCTTTCTTTAGATTCAATAACTTCAAAATCATATTAAGCAAAACAATATCAAATTTTGCAAACGGATTTACAAAACAAAAATATAATTTATACCATAAATGTATTCTAAACTGATTTTGGTGACCCATGGCTCTTTTGATTCAAATTTTTAAATTCTTATTCAAATAATACTACAATGTCTAGGTAGGCATGTCATTCAAAACTATTTCTATGATTATTTTACATGTGCCATTATTCACAGAATATTATTGTACTTTTATCATCTTTGCCTGCAATTTCATAATATTGATAGTTGATAAATTTAAATACTGTGACCGTGTGCTACGTTAATATGAGAATTTCTATGTAGTTCACTGTATCCTTCATTTGCCATTTTCATGCTAATCTAAGTTAATCATCTTCATAATTATTGTAGTAGAATTAATAACACCATCCTGATAAATTGATGACAAAATGCTTGATATGTAGGCCTACACAAGAATACGCAAAGCAAAAAGTTTACTTGTGGAATTATTTTTAAGGGCTTATCTTACAACACTAATGTTCAGAATTATAATGTTCTATATAATAAATATGGAAGTCAAAATGTTTTATCAGTGAATTCAGGTATTTGTTATCAGCTTGGATTACAAATGATATATTCAGATTACTATTGCTAACTCATTAAAGAAGAATTTGAAAAGAAAATAATATTACTCTTTGTAAATAATTCGAAGAGTGACGATAGATTTGAAGCAAGGTGTGGTCAGCCATTATTATCCATAACTAAATATATACAAAGCGGCAAAGCCAATCGTATAATTAGGAAACTAACATATTTTACATTATGTGCAAATTAATAAAGTAAAAAACGTACCATATGAATTAATATGATAATATTGGCATCAAATTAAAGAGTCACCATTAATCATTTTTTAGTTCAATGGACCTTTCCCCGAGCATCGACTTCCTTGTTTACTTCGTGACATTGGCCAATCAGCAAGATGAAAAAAGTGACGTAACAATGCCCTCTTTTTGCATCCGCTCAGACACTTTTCTCACTCAGACAGATTTTCAAGCGTGGTTGTAAACATTACCTCGTTTTCGCGTTTTTGAACTCTATTCGTTAGTTTTCAGTTGTGTTTCGGAAACTTAATAAAAATCAGATAATTCAATGATCACTCTGTCTTCCTAGGAGTTTTAATTTAATTGCAGTAATAAAAATTAGTGTAGAAATAGCTGTGATAGACTAGCCTGAAATTCTTTACCGGTACTTTGAAAAAACCGATTGTTGTGTGCAATGAATCATAAAAATGGTTTGAAACACATGCCCCATTTTACAGGCGCCAACTCGCAAAAGCACTCCTAAAATAGCACTGAAAATTTTGCAATGGTAAAGTATAGGAAGAATTTTTCGGGGGTCAAAGGTCGGGGAAAGGTCCATTGTAAGCAACTACCAAGCAAAATTACAAACAATTATAATCATTTCTAGAACCTTGTTCACTTGTGTTATCTGACATATTTTCCTGTTTCAAAAGCTCCAACACTGTAAAAACAGCATCAAAAAGATAAAATTTAGTTGAAAAAAAATTATCATACATGCATGGAACAATGGAAGTGATTATGTATAACGCCGTAAATGACATATGTAATGATATAAGATACTTGAATTGCTATTACAAATTTGTATTGGTGACAATGCTCACTCGTGCATCAAAGTTTGCGGACAGAACGTCAATACAATCCAAAAAAAACACACGTTTCACAAAGTCTTTCGTTTCAATATTTAGGTTACCGTATTCGTTAATCTAAACCATCGAACTTGATAAATTTTTACATTTGTTGTTGCTTAAAAATAAGTCTATTTTTCAATCAAATTTTAATCAAGTAAAATATCAATAAGAATTATCTAGAGAATTAGCCAAACGTGCATTAAAAACAAATGTGTGTGTGAAATTCAGCATTGTTAGAAATCACCAGATGTGAATGAGTTTGTTAATGAGTAGCAAATGCTTTTTGTCCAATTTTATGCAGATGCAAAATTATGTTGGTGTAAATATTATTCATCTGTACAAACAATGTTGGGTTTGAAAGGTGGTGGTAGGCAGTAACTTGGAGTGCAACGATAGCAAAGAAAGAGGTGAGAATAAAGACATAGGTGAGGGCTATATAGCTGTAAAAATCAATCTAAAACTTTTTACAGCGTTATCATATGAGAGTTATCATATAAAAAAAGACAAAATCAGCTGTATTACTACAGTCACAATCACCATGCTGAGATCAATTTGATACAAAACAGAAATAAGTCCTATCCACAACAAATTGCGAAGTCATTTACATGCAAAAATTTCATACTTTAAACTTAAAGCATACAAGCTGTCACAAGAAATTTCTTATAAGGGAAGCATGACAAGACATTGATTTTCTGTTTTGAATCAATCTTACCAATAAACTATTATCGTAGCTTACAAGACAAGAAAGGCTTCTAAATTACTAAAATACAAAACTAAGTTTATTATCTGAATCGAGTAATATTGTTATAATCACATAAGCTTGAATTAATATACCATGGATTTTATTTTATTTATTATTATAAAAAAAGTTTCAGTATGCAGACAATGAAAGATTTAGCAAGAACTCCAATGCACCGTGCATAAGAATATATTGAGTGTGACTTCAAGCATTGGTACATAGAATCAGTTCATCAGAAATATTATGAGATCATCCTCTTTTCATTGTCATGTAGGTATATCAACTTTTGATTTGAATTATTTTTTTAGTATATAACATGATTATTCTTCGAATAAAAATTATTTTTCAAGTAAACTTATGCATGATTATATTCCACATCACATTAGATTGATTAAGATTGAAATTACAAATATTTGTAGCACAAAAAGCTATTAATGATTTACTAAAAATATATGTGTAAAACGCTATAGACACGATAGAAGTACATTTTATCTATAATTTTACACAAATCTCAAATTTAAAGCTAATATGTAACAGAAATGAAAACATTCGAGAGGTTTTAGAAGCAGGCACATTTCAAATCTCGCCATATGACACCAGAAAATGGAAAATTTATTAAAAGTTCTTAATTTGAGATGTTTTCAAATAATCATGTAAAACTGTGGAATGTCACTTACTTCTTTGAAGCATTTAAAATAACCAGGTTTCTATTAACATTTGAGAATGGTGAACACAGTATATATATTTTTTATATACCAATAATACAATGTTCATAAGTCATCAACACTACTCAAGGCTGCTGCAAGGCGGATCACATTACCCCGGGTTATATACGGCTCGAACTAGATCTAAACATCGAGAAGAAATACTCGACTAGCATTATACAATAACGGAAACTCAGGACTTGTAACTGAAAGAGACCCATGTACGTAAGCTGTTTAGATTGAAAATAAAAAAAATAGCTCAATAGATTGTGAATATTTTCAAATAGCCCAAGATTATTTTCTGAAAACACTTGTTTTGCAGGAGCACCTTATAAATATACCTTCGGCAGAATTATTCAAGTCCCGAATTTGAAGTCTTTGAAAACTTAGCTATATAGGCTTTCCTTTTTGTATTAAATTTACTTGGCAAAGAGAGATGATGTAAAAAGAGTTTTTTTCTTTGGCATACAGAACCTAAACTTTTCTCAGCATTTATGGTACTCACCATCTTCTAAGTCTTCGGCAGGAATGAATTCAGCATCTTCATCAATATCTGGCTTGCATTTACCGCAACAACAATTACAGCAGAAACAACAACAACAACAGAAACAACAACACGTGATAAGACAACAGAAGAATGCAAGTCCCTGAAAAAAATGAAAAATAATTAATGTTCGATAAACATCAAATTCACTATTGCAAATTTCCTATTGCTAAAAAAACTAAATTGGTAAATTAACATTGTGCCAGAATATATCGGATATAGGAAATCTGATAGATCTGTAATATATTGGCTATGTGTCAGAATCAATAAATATATTTTAAATAGTACATATTATCAAAAAATGTTCCATTCACATCGCATTTGTCACTTATAAGTAATACCCCCGTTGTGACAATCCATTGTGACAATCATGAACTATGTCATTTATGGGTGAACTAGTACATTGGGGACAAAAATAATTGGTTGGGTAATTTTAGAAAGTGTATTTGTTTCAGGTTACAACTTATTAACACACCACAGGTACTAACCCCAAACAAGACAAATTACTATGCATAGCATAGCCTCATTGATTGCAATGGAACCATAACGGAAGGATGTTAATTACCACAATGCTGTATATAGTACTTAAAAAATGCAAGCTAAAATAACCATATGGACGCTGCAAAAAGCGTACATTTGAAATCACTAAACTAATAGTTTATGAACAAGTACAATACATAAAATTTTATAATTACAGGTACGTTATACAACAAATATTCCTTGTTAAATTTTCAATTCCCAATGAATCATCGCTAATATACTTCGTGTAAATTTACGTATCATATTACAGGAAATGGAAAAAAAATGGTTTATAAGAATGTTGCTATGCCTTGATTTGTTTTCTTCGCACATTTCTACATATACCATACTTGTATACCCACATTTTTGCAAACTTACTATAGCTTATAATGCAAATAGTATAATAGGATAGGTATTAATATATTGGTGCTTGTAATGAAGAAAAATTTACCAACAACGCTTAAGACATTTGAGACTATGAGGACAAATATCACATCATCATATATTCGATTATTGATAAGTGATGATAAACACTATAATGCCTTGCTGAAATTCATTAAACTATACAGTACATTGATTGGATGAACATGGAAAGTATCATGGAAAAGTTTTGCTCTATTAAGTTGCCTAGTCAGTGATAAGAATACATCTATGTTTGAAAGAACTGTTTAATAACGTGTCCTACATGAGTCTTACCTTTGCCCAAGGTGACTGCAATGCAAAATATGTTTTTACATTATCTTCTCCAATTTGTTCTGCAATATATAATCCCATAGAACCATATTGATCATATATTTCTCGTTTCTTTTCATCCTAAAAAGTGAATTGTTCAAATCTGTAATTAGAAACTTGATTCCCAGGAAGAATGAAAAACAAAATTTTATTCAATCATTCCTGTATCAAATCTAGACTGGTAACTAGAGAGGAGACCATAATTTGCTGTATTATGACAAGTCGATAAAGTGGGTCTCGTGTAGTTTCGTACCTAACATACTTCTAGTGGGCGTAGCATAACAATTTTTTGATATGCCAATCCTAACCCCAATCTGTCTATGCCATCCAAAAATTACGTCACTACGACATCACAATCCCGTCATAGAGCTTGCTATACGTACGTACATACGTGCAAATATACGTATAATCGCCCGAAATGGCATTGCCGCTGACGATAAAGAACTGACTGACATTATCGATCTCTCTCCTATTGGAATCGTTGCGACGAAAAAACGAGAGAAATACCTGTTCGATTTCGGGTGCTCGTTTGGGCGTCTTGGATGGCAGTTCGTATAGTTTTAGGGCTCTACTACGTCACTGTGACGTCGTGTTGACGTAATTTTCGGATGTGTAGTCAGGTGGGGGTTAGGATTGATACGTGAAAAAATTGTCATGCTACACCCCCTAGAACAGTGTTTCCCAACCTTTATCCGCCCACGTACCATTTCGGGATTTAGTGCAGTGCTCGCGTACCACCTACAAAAATAATGCGCGCGAAAAGCTATTTCTCACCGTTTGTGACGTCATAATAACGTATTTGATTCATGCAAAGTGTAACAACAAATTCTATTAAACTAGGCCGCATCAACCAAGATTGATGTGGTGCATGTTATTGTTTTTCCGCCACTATTCAAAAGAAGAACAACATAATTAAATAAAAACAAAACAATCAATTCATTCAATGCGATGGCTGCATTTATTTATTTTCTACGAGCTGGTCGATGCGTAGCGTACATTTGCTCACAGCTAATCGGAAGTCATGCATTGGCTCAAGGAGTCTGTTTCGTTTCTTAGATTTGATAGTCATAAGGAATGAAAACCCTTGCTCGCACTCCCACGTCGAAGGAAAAATTAACAGCTGGGGAATAGCGCGAAAAGCAAGCGTCACATATGAGGAAGCCATGCTAAGCCAGAAGTTGATTGGAGAACATTCTTTGTGTTTCGTCTTTGCAGTCTGGATATCTATGAGCTCCTCTTGCTCCCCAGTCCCGACAGGCAGGTCGGCTGGATCAATAGAAAATGGATCGGTTATGTAGGCACAACATATAACATCCGGAAAGTAATGCCTCAATTCGGCATTGAGCAGTGACAGGTGATCAACGATTTCGTGGGAGACTTCATCATTGGGCGCGCTGGGAAGGGTTGTCAAGGATGTAAACATTCCATATTGCTTGCTTTCTACGTTATTTTTCCAGAGGTCCAACTTCCGGACAAACGCTCCAGTTTAGAAATGAACTCTACGATAGTACAGTTTGGTCCTTGAAATGACAAATTTAAACGGTTGATGGTTTCAAAAATGTCTGCCAAGTAAGCCAATCTTATGACAAATCCCTCATCCTCCAGATATTTCTGAAACTTGTGATCTTTCTCCCGTAAAAACACAAGTAGTTCATTCCTTAATTGAAAAAGACGTTTTGTTGTATTTCCCCTGGAGAGCCAGCGCACTTCTGTGTGATAGAGAAGACAAGTGTGATCGGAACCGAGATCTTCATAGATCAGCTTAAACGGGCGACTATTTAGAGCTGACGCTTTAACAAAATTTACAATTTTAATAATTGGGTTCAAGCACGATAACAACTTCGGTGGAAGTATCTTGGCGCTAAGGGCGAATCTGTGTATAAAACAGTGTACACCGGTGACGTTTGGTGATACGGCTTTCACAAGGGCTTGAAACCCAGACTTTCGACCAAGCATGGACGGAGCCCCATCTGTCGTGCATCCGATTACTGCAGTTGACTGCAGTTCGAAACATCTGTAGATTCGTCGACCTGTATTGCAAACCCAAATTTTGAAGCTCTTACTCCCACAGTAACTTGATCGGCTATGTCAACTGAAATCTCCTCGATACGGCGCTTTACAGTATTGTTAGAGAGGGACACACTGTCCAACTTTGCCACGGACTCCTCTCCCATCACACGTCTGACCAAAATCTTTGCCGCCGGCATTATGAGAGACTCTGCAATGGTATGAGCTGCCATGCTTTTAGCCACCAAGAAAGCGACTTCATACGACGCTTTGACAATCTCTGTCCCCTTCTGGTGGAATAAGCCAGTTCTGTCCAAACGCTGCCGCTTCATTTGCTCCGCAAGTCGCCGGAAATAGCTCTGATCTCGATTCTTCCTATCAGCGTGGTTCGTTCTAAGATGACGTGGAAGCAGGCTGGGTTTTATGGACGCGTTGGAAAGGGTCTCCATGCAGACCACGCATTGCGGTAGAACTTCTCCTTTGTGTTCGATCGTGATGAAACCGTATTTTAAATAATCTGGATCATAATTTCCCTTGGACATGGTATAAAGTCAAATGAAAAATACTATTTATCGCAATAATAAATGAAAATTTGTCAGTGACAAACCTTCCTTATTAAACAAACCACCACGTTAGACTCGCTCGTAGTGTGTTACCAGTACCATCCAGCGCTCGCGACGCGCACATGCAATTTAGACATTCTATGACGTCACAATGGCTAGAAGTAAAAAAGACGTCCCTTACCACGACGCCTTCAAAAAAGCACCGCAAGAACTTAATTAAGAACTATCGTCGATTGAAAAAAAAAACAGAATGTGCTCGCGTACCACCTGGAAGACCTTCGCGTACCACTAGTGGTACGCGTACCACAGGTTGGGAATCACTGCCCTAGAAGTATGTTAAGTACGAAACTACATGAGACCCGATAGAGTTTTGATGTCCAAAAAACAAGTTTTAAATCTTATTCCATTAGATGACAATTTTATATCACCTTTGGCCTTCATGCGTATTAATTTGTTTCAATCCAGCCTCATTCTATCTGCTGGTGATACACTAATTGACAATGTAATAATGGATTTACCGCACTAATCAATATATCAGTATACTGGTATATGAAATGGTATGAGCCAGATATTCTGATGAAGTGACATTCATGTGAATATTATGGTACAAATATATGAAATTTTACTTACAGTTTCAACTTCTAAAATACAAACAATCATACAAAAAATATTCATATATTTGACATTCTGACATTACTGTACCTACTGACCTATAAATCAAAACAAGCACTAACGGTGAAATTAAATTTACAAGTCTGCAAATACCAACCTGAAGTATTTTATGAGCGCTATTTATTTCTTTGAATTTCTCTGTTGCGTCTGGATTATTTGGGTTTTTGTCAGGATGATAGCGCAATGCTAATTTACGATATGCCTTTTTTATTTCATCTTGTGTTGCCTTTTTCTCTATTCCCAGCATTTCATACAACGATTCTCCTTTTGTCGACATTTTTCTCTGCTTTTGACCTCCTCCAACATGACCTTCTTCCCGGGGTTGGGGGGTCGCCATGATGAACGCAAAAAATCAATTGATCCAGTGATCAAAACACTAAAACAAACTTACAATTTCAACAGAACTTGAATATTGAATAGTCTATACAAAACCATTCATGCGTTTGCTTCACCTACTGACCTATAAATATAAAATTGCATGAATCGCCTAAAGAAATATATACAATTCATGCAAGATATAGTGAACAGATGGCACGATGGCGATGGGTAGAGTGTCCGAGAGCAGAGGAATAATGGCACCGGTAGGGCCTACAGCATAACGGTCATATTACAGTATTAAGACCGGTACGTTTTACGTACATTCTTTGGCTTAGGCATACTAACAGACTAAAGAGTTGCTTCCTCAGTTTCCCTTGCCTCTATTTCCATCTTTACCAACTCAAACCACAATCCTGCAATCCCGTTGCAATACCAGATCCGAATACGGTGTCTTGGTAATGGTGCTCAGACTTCTTTCTAGCATATCTGTTGAATCTAAACATGGCTACGCGGTGGGTACATGTCGTTGCACAAAGTCGTCTATCGCTCGTCATAATAATTTCTATTTTCTGTGAAGCCTGAAAACTGACCTATGTGAAAGAAATTTTGCACGAGGGGCGACGGGGAAGTCTGACAAACATTTGCGGAACCGCCTTATGCGAGAATAGCATTTCGCAATAGCGGCCTATGCGCGAATGTTCGATTTTGTGGAGTGTTTTGCGAGAATATGTATTTTGGCGAAGAAGGAATAAAAATACAATTATGCGAAAACAGTTTTTGACAACATAGTTTGAGGCACATTTCTAATCAATTGATTTGTTGAAAAAATGTTATAGTTCTAACAAGGTACGTGACTTGAAATAGAATTTTGCGTGAAGGTTGTTACTGTTGTCATGACTGATAAATAATTGAAAAAAAACGGACGAAAAAACAGAAAAATAAGAACTTTATGTGTTTTTCCTTCAAATTTTAAATAAGAAGAAGATTTGTGATCAGTAAGTCCACATATATAAATGTCATAGCTATTTCCAGCTACTTACAGCGAGGAAGTCAAATTTTTGAGAACAGACCCCATCACTACAAATTTATTTCTTATTGTTATTGTTATTTTTATTATTATTACGATGACTGTTATTTTTGGTTGACGAAAAAAATAAATCTCTCTCTCTCTCTCTCAGGTTTGAAGGGACAACATTAAAGGCTGAAGGAAGAAACGGATGAAGTGGAGGGAAAACGGAAGTTGGAGTGTTCCCGAAGGTGAAAAATTAAAAAAACACTTAAAGGCTGAACACTAAAAGGAAGAAGTGGATGAAATTTCTTCCGACGGGTGGTGAGGCGGCTGAAGTCACTAAAAACATGAACACTAAAAGGAAGAAGTGGATGAAATTGTTTCCGACGAATAATGAGGTGGTTGAAGTCACTAAAAAGCTGAACACTAAAAGGAAAAAGTGGATGGAATTTCTTCCGACAAATAATGAGGTGGTTGAAACCACTAAAAAGATGAACACTAAAAGAAAGAAGTGGATGAAATTTCTTCCGGCGAATAATGAGGTGGTTGAAGTCACTAAAAAGCTGAACACTAAAAGGAAGAAGTAGATGAAATTTCTTCCGACGGCTGGTGAGGTGGATGAAGTCACTAAAAATATGAACACTGAAAGGAAGAAGTGGATAATATTTCTTCCGACAAATAATGTGGTGGTTGAAGTCACTAAAAGGAAAAAGCGGATGAAATTTCTTTCAACGAATAATGAGGTGGTTGAAGTCACTAAAAAGCTAAACACTAAAAGGAAGAAGTGGATGAAATTTCTTCCAACGGATAGTGAGGAATACTTGAAAATTTAATATATTAGGAATTGGTTAATTTAATGTTTGTTCTGTTTGTAATTATGAGACAATGTCCTCGTGGATTCGATTTTTGTTAATTTTTTATATGTTATGCTCAGTTGTTATGCTCAGTTATGCTTATTTGTGTGGTCAACTTCACGATTATTATTAATTTTTGATTCCTATTTTCGTATTTACAAAATACAACGGTGATCCATGGACTTAAAATGTGTGGTAAATTGCCTGATTATAATTAATTCTTGATTCATATTTTCGTATTTATGAAAATATATATATGCGGACATTGAAGTGCCCGAATATAATTAATTTTTCATTCGTATTTACGTACTCACGAAAAAATTGTCGCAAGTCAGAAATATAATTTATACTTTATCCCGCTTTTTGGCAAATAATTTGGATAATGGTTGGTATTCAAAAGTATGGACTTTTACTAGGATGATTTTGTGTTGCGCAAAATGTTCAAATACATGACCGATGGCATTATTTTAAATGCTTGCCGTGTTAATTTAATTCTGATAACGTAACTCTGCAAACATGAAATGCATGGAAATATAGTCATGTTGTAGATACCAGTTATTCCATTATTTATTGTATGCAAATTCCTTCATATACTATAGATAAATCTCAATTACTTTATTTTATTTCCGAATGTATTCTAAATAGTGAACTATTAGGTATTGGCCATCTCCTCAGGACTGAGGCAATTTGATGCAACTCAATTGTGAAAATAAGCGCAGGAAACAATTCTATTGTACCGTCATAAACAGTGCTGCAACAGTAACAGCACTGGTTCCAGCAGTCCCACCCCAGAATATGTGACTGTGGTATTTCACTCATTGTTATATTAAATTAGGGCCCATTACAGATTTTTTATCTCCAAAATATTAGTAGAATAATTTGTGACTTTGGATTATACATAAAGGAGAACTTGTACACACAGATCTTTGTCATCTCTGTGATATATGGGCTCATTATTGCGATAGAGCTTGCTAAACATAGAGATACTGAGCATATATTTATGCTAGCAGCATAGTGTAATAAGACAAAGACATTTTAATTGCATCTGGATTACAATAAATAAGAAATGCTTTCAGGAATTTGCTACACAAAAAAAGTAATGAACCCATTTAAAATAAACCTCCAACCGAAAACGACTGCGAAAAATGAAAATATTCCTATAAATATCAAAGACACTAATAATTTTTAGCTAAAACTGTTATTACTAAACTTGGGCTTCATTATTATCTTCGGAATTCCGAAAGTCCAAATGTACATAATAGACGCGGTGCTGACTAGGGATAATTAATTGGTCGACGCTGTATCTCGATCAAACACGTAAGACGACATTTGCATATTAGGCTCGGCCGGGTATGAAATCTGGCGCGTGTTAATGTAAGACAGTGCACAAGTTGCTATTCCTCAAGTATTATCTACTTCCATATGTGCGTTATGATAATTGCTGGAAATAACCGAAATGTTTAATTCCCCGCTTGTATCGCGCTAATTAGGAGAAAATACTACATTTCTTTTATGATTACGGCTGCAAGAAGTGTTCTACCATGTGTTCCCTCATTCCGTTTACCTCCACTCAAGTGGAGGTACAACAAATGAGAATAAAATAGCATAAATATAAATGTCAGGATAAAAAAAACATGATCGTCAATTAACATGCCCGGCGAATGAACTTGTTCAGTAATAGTTCTCTTCAAATATATACGCGAAATATTTCTCTCCCAACGGAGTTTAAATTAAATTTCAATCAAAATTAAATGTTTTCTAGAAGTCCGGTATCTGATCGTTTATCAATTCATGTCACGGCGTACCATAACTTAGTCGCAGAGAAGGTGTGCTGTTGCAAATTATTAACACAATTGCAACGAACTTTTGGGTATACGATCCATTTAAATTTGCGTGTGATAGAAAATTAGGTCATTCAGTGGAATACTCAACTGACAGATTGAAGGAAATTAATTACCCACACAGCACGTCAGCATCTCGAGTGATGATCAGGGTGAGTTGCGCTGAACTTGAAAATGAACGAAGGCAGATCAATAAAAGTAAATAACGAAAAATGCATTCACATTCCCGTCTGGCAATTGGTGTTTTTTGGAGTGTTTGTTTTTCTTCGCTAAACGGCTCTCTTTCTTTCGAATCGCGTAAATCAGATTCGAAAAAAATTGCGATTTGAATCGATTCAATTCAAGAGTCTAAAAGTGGCATGCCTACTTATCAGTCCGCTTTCAGGGTCTTCATCCAATCTCACTTCCGTCGGGATATGTTTAGGCTATTTATCTCTCCTAATGTTTGGTATTTTAGTGACTTCAACCGCCTCAAGATCGATAGGACAAAATATCATCTACCGTACTTTTTCCTGTTAGTGTTCAGCTTTTCAGTAACCTCCGCCACCTCATTATTCGTCGGAAGAAATTTCATCCACTTCTTCCTTATAGCGTTCAGCTTTTTAGTGACTTCAACCACCTCATTATTCGTCGGAGGAAATTTCATCCACTTCTTCCTTTTAGTGTTCATCTTTTAGTGACTTCAACCGCCTCTTTATTCGTCGAAAGAAATTTCATCCACTTCTTCCTTTTAGTGTTCAGCTTTTTAGTAACTTCAACCACCTCATTATTCGTCGGAAGAAATTTCATCCACTTCTTCCTTTTAGTGTTCATCTTTTTAGTGACTTCAACCGCCTCTTTATTCGTCGAAAGAAATTCCATCCACTTCTTCCTTTTAGTGTTCAGCTTTTTAGTGACTTCAGACACCTCACCACCCGTCGGAAGAAATTTCATCCACTTCTTCCTTTTAGTGTTCAGCCTTTTAGTGTATTTTAAATTTTCACCTTTGGGAACACTTCAACTTCCGTTTTTCCTCCACCTCATCCGTTTCTTCCTTCAGCCTTTTAGTGTTGTCCGGTTTGAAGCGCCCAGAGTCGGATCATATCTTTTTAGAGGTCCTAAGCGCTTCAGATTTTGATGCCTTATCTATAAAATTCATTAATAATGATACTGGTGTTTTAGATTTAGGATATCTGAATAATTCTAGTTATTCATTGCTACATCAGGGCCAAATTACGATTATTTTGCAAGATTTTTGGTGGGAAACAGTTTCTTGTTGCTCCAGTCAGCCTCGATTATTTTTCTATTTTCCCCATCCAATTACATTCAATCTTACTTTCTTTCCTTGTGGCCTTGTTGATTTTTATTTCCAGTCCAAGTGTCTTTATTATAGCACTGGCTTTATTCTTCATTTTATTTACTTTAGTTGCTTGCTGACTGGTCGGTCCTGAAAACTCGTTGGCTTCTGTTTCC